AAGGGGGAAGCAAGTAACACGAGGAGAGGAGGGATATGTTGAGGGGATAGTATGTTCTCTTTAGTCTGCTGCCAGTGGGATGAACAGAGAGAAAAAGATAAGGTTGCTCCTACCCTATTAGTAGCTCCAACTCTTTTCCCCTGTTGATTACCAGGTGTGTGTAAAAATACCTAGTGATCGTCTGAGTTCAAGGACTAGGACTGGTTGATCGTATCAGTCATCATCTCTACCTTATTGATCAGATGGTGAATTTCAAAGGTGTAGGAAGGTACCTCATGAAGACAGGAGAAACGAATGAACGAAAGCAGCGACGATGACACAGTAAGAACAGCAGGCAAGCACAACAGGAGAGTGAAGATGAAAGAGGATGAAGCCATGAGGACAGATCGAATCTTCAACGAAGGATAAGAAAAGGAATGGAAAATTAACAGGTAAGAACGTGGGAATGAAGCAATATGTAGATAGCAGGATAATGAGATGACAAGAGAAGGAGGCCGAGAAGGGATGATACAAGGATAGGGAGCAAGGGAAAGAAGGAAATAGAGAAGGAAGAGGAGGAGGCTGAAGGGATAAAGGAAGATGATGGAATGAAGAAGGGAACAAAGGAAGATGATGGAATGAAGAAGGGAAGAACGAAAAGGAGAAAAGAGGAAGGAAGAATCAATGTGAACAAGAGGACATGGCAAGATCAGAGGAATAAGAAGCGAAAATTGTGATGAATTGGACTTGGCATTTCAACCAAATGCTCACAAACAAATAAAATAATCACAAAATAGGAGTCCTCGAGGTATCATACCAGACTTGAAAAACCGGGATCAAGAATGGAATTTCCTGAGAGGTTAAGAGGTAAATGCAAACGAAGATGACTGGCTGTAAGATAAAAGATGGAGAGGAGAGATGACAGAGAGGTTCCAAGAGTCCGACTCTTCTAGTCGTCGTCATAGACTTGCGCATAGTCGTAGAGCAGGTGCACCAGGTAGCATTTGATGATGTCGGAGTTGAGGTTTTCGAGCACAAAGTGAGTCGAAGCATCTGAGACATGCTTCAATAGCGTCTCGTTGCTCAGCGACCGCTTGACGACATCCACTAGGTCGGACACGTCTCGCTTGAAGGGGATGTAATGTTCATATGGCTTGAGGTCTTGGTACCAGAACTCCTCGTTGCCTGACTCCTGCTTCAACACGACGACGTTGCTCGCCAGAAAGTCGAGGAGACGATCGGGCACCGAGTTGCCATCAGGAACGATGACCAGCTTGAACTTCCACTGCTCCGAATGAGCCACTCGCTTCTTCACCACGTACCCCTCCCTCTTCATGATCTTGGGCAGTTGTTTCGACTCGGTCTGCATCACCCTGGTAAAGCGAGCATCGATGAGGTCTGGGTGATCCAACGAAGCCTTGACGATCTTGGTCCTTGCAAAGTTCCTCCAGTTGTCTTCGGTGTAGATGCCACCGGTGGTTGTCCCCCTGAAGAAAGCTTTGCTGATCTTCCGTTCCAACGGAATGGAGTTGTCTTGCGAGGCAGTCTTCAGTATGTAGTCGGAGAACCCTTGGACTGATCGGGGAGTTGCGAGAATCCCGTTGCTAGACCTTGGCTTCTCCTGCACGAAGACAGGAAGGCACTCGTTCCTCGCATTCGGAAGACTCAACCCGTCAAACCCGTCGTTGAACCAACAGATGAATTCCATGTCCGGGAGGTCGACCTCCTTAGCTAACATGCCGATGTCCTGGATGAGCCCTTCCTCCGTCCTCACGTCGTTCTCCCATGGCGTCCCTTCGGTGCCGTAGTAAGTGACGTGGTTGTCTTTGATGCTGACTCCTATGTAGTCCTTGTCCTCCCGCACGCTCCTCCGTATGGCAGACCTGGTCACCCGTCCTCGGCATGCGTGAGCGCGGTAGGGGCGGAGAGACCTCTCTATGTAAGGATGGCGCCTGCATCGCTTCCAGTGGAGAAACTCCTCCCTTGACAGCCTTGACTTGAAGTTGAACAGCCCCAGCGCGTACATGCTGAGGGCCACGTTGAGGATGATGGACAGGCAGGCGAGCAGGACGACGGGGATGAGGATTCTTCCTCGCAGGTTTGACATGCGAGGAAACCTTGGGAGCTGCATCGCATCTATCCTTCCTCCTCTCACTCTTCAGCTTCTATCCTCCCTCCTCTCACTCCTCAGTCTCTATCCTCCCTCCTCTCACTCCTCAGTCTCTATCCTCCCTCCTCTCACTCCTCAGTCTCTATCCTCCCTCCTCTTCCTCTTCAGTCTCTATCCTCCCTCCTCTCACTCTTCACCCTCTATCCTCCCTCCTCTTCCTCCTCACCCTCTATCCTCCCTCCTCTCACTCCTCAGTCTCTATCCTCCCTCCTCTCACTCCTCAGTCTCTATCCTCCCTCCTCTTCCTCCTCAGCTTCTATCCTCCCTCCCCCCTTGTCAGCTTCTTGTCAGCATCGCACACCCCCACCATATTCGAAAAGGTCAGTCAAGCTCGCCTCAGGCAAGGACTATCAATAACATGGGGGCAACATTTTCCTCGATTGCTTTTCAGGTCAACAAGTCTCCAACTGCCCCCACGTGTAGGTATGTGGGGGCAGTTCCTACATGTGGGGGCAGTTGGAGGTATGACATGATCAGCTGTAGTGTTGGGAGATCATCAGGAAGTTGATCCGAGTTGTGTGAGGTGTTTGGTTGAGTGTGAGAGTCAGCGGTGACTTGGTGCGCATATCTGACAAGGGAGTCTTTGTCTTTGCTTGTCTGTCGGTTCTTAATAACCTAATCAGTGACTGTTGAGTCATCATTCAGCTGTGCACAGACTTTTAGAGTCTTGAATTGATTCCAATACTCCGAGTGATTTGATTGTCAGATCTTCGAGCGCTAGACTGACTACAAGTTGACTGGGTCTGAGAGGTTCAACTAGCCTGACTGCCGGCAGTCCCGCCCACGGCGTCCAAGTCGCACTTCAGTATTTCAAACAACTGTACTGAACACTTTTATTCGGGAATAAACAAAGTGTTCCCGACGAGCAAATGCAAGAGGGAAAGGAGGAGAGACTCAACAGAAGACTCAACATCTGCTATGGCCATCAACTTGCCATGGCTTGTAGCGGCAGAGGCTGCAGCAGCACAGGATACAACGGCAAAGGTTCAGAAAAGGGAGGAGAGAATGAAGAGGGGAGAAGGGGAGGGGAGGCGAGAGGGGCTGACAAGCTTGACAAGGTGACGGGGCCGATGTACTACTAATATCTCCCTGCGAACCCCAGACGAGGTCGCCAGCAGATCATGACACGACGACTGCCAATGGCGGCGTTCAAGAAATGCGAGGACGGCGATCCAGTGGGAGCTGAGATACTGGATGGAGGATAACCTTGCATAACAACAAGATCTCATGTACAAAATCACTTGCTGAGTTATCCAGCAGGTGATGACTTGAACATGAAAAAGATATCTTTGTCAGACGGTAGTGGGAGAGGAAGGGGAGAAGACGGTAGTGGGAGAGGGAGGGGGGAAGACGGTAGTGGCGTTGAGCACGTGTGAACGAACCTCAACACTTTAGGATATTTTGAGTACCCCACCCCCTAGTCACTCTGATCACTGAATTCCCATACAAATGCCCAGACAACAACCCCCTGTGTCTCAGCCGTGATATACCCGTCAGCTTCTCCTCCAGCATCTGCTTACGTCCCCCCTTCCTACCGGCCTCTACCCCCCCATTCCCATCGGATTCCAGTACCGTACCCCTACCTCCTGTCAGCCTTTAAACTCAGAATTCCTAGCTTGGAACCACCTGACCCCCCCCCCGAGTTCCCGCTGAGGAGCACAGGGGTGCGTGTTTCCGTGCTAGGAGCAAATGACTCTTGGATTTGACCCCTCGCCGTTGACCGATGGCTCTTGGGAAAAAATTAGCGGGTCTCAAATTCTCCTCTCAATCTCTGTTTTCGTCGTTTCGTTTTCAAACTTTGGCAACTGTACGAAATTTACGTCATATCTCCTATATTTGTCGTGCATTTCATCGTCTGTACCACCTCCCAAAATTCATGTACAACCATTCCAAATTGAATTCGAGAGATAAAAATCAATTTTAGCTCAAACTGTGAAAGTTTTTCACGTTCATGATTATTCAAAGTTGCTAGCGGAAAAGTCAGCGCGCAATGGCGGATGCGCAATGGCGGCAGCAGAACATGCACTGACATGACAGGGTAGCGCAGGCGTACCAGTCGATATGGAGCACAAGCTTTCTATGTCTCTGCGTCTCCAGTGGCATCGCCTGTCTCTGCTGTCTCATCTGATCATCCTGACTTCCAGTGAGAACTTTCTTTCCGTATGTTTCAGTTCACCCTCGCTGATACTTTCCGCAGTTTACTTCTTCCTTCCTGCAGTCTCGGCTCAGACTATGAGCTACAATCTTACTCATTCTGGATCATGCTCAACAGGTCAGTGTGTCATGCCTGTCGATGCAAACATCTCCATTTCAAGACAAGGCGTCGGCAATCTTGTCAGTGCAAAAGTGTCGATAGACCTTTATCCATATCTGTGGCCTTATGATAGCACCAAGATCTACCAATTGCGTTCGGCGATACTTCATAACAATATTGAAAAAAAATTCACCATTATCAGAGTAATTTTCCCAAGCTCATTCAATGTTTCGGATTCAGTCGTGAACATAGAAGGTGGAGGGAAATTCGGTGTTGGAGTCACTGGACTTGATGGAATTACGGATCAGGCTGGTTTTGTGAAAATCTTTCCGTTTTCCAAAGGTTCTATAGTAACTGAGGTTCCTGTAGTCGACAGTCAAATGGAAGGTGTGAGTGGTGGTAACACAGATCCTTGCAACATGCCTTGCAGCAACATATTTGAGATGCAGACGTATGCAAATACAGACACAGATGTAAAATCATCCACTGTACAGGGGACTATTCAAAGACTTCATTTCACTATATCTGGAATTGTGAATCCTCTGTACACTCCCGGAGAGTTGCCTGGGGCATTGCAACAGAAAGCTGTTCAATTCGGAATCCAGATTTATGACTTCACGATAGACGATCGAGGATACAGAACTTACAAAATGCTGTTTTACAACAATCGTATCAATGACCCACAGTTGAACAAGACAACTCATTATTGGTTCAGCAGGACAGGCAACTCCCCAGTGAATCTCACTTCCAACGTGTTGCCAAGGGTGGACCTGTCCTTAGCTTCTCCCAGGTTTTCTCAGCTGACTTCAGCAAAAATTCAGTTCAAGACGGTTACAGGAATTCCCAAAGGGGGCAGCGTCTTGGTCAAGTTTCCCCCTGACCTTGTCATCAGCTCCTCGTCGAGGATTTCAGTGTCTTTCATCGATGTGAGGAGCGCAAACTCCTCCAGCAATGTTACAGGAACAACCTATATCTCATCCAAGGACCGCAGCATCCTGTTCTACAGGATTGAAAGCACGCTAGATCGGAACCAAGATATGATTCTAGATGTCACGAATGTCTTTACTTCTTCACTCTCGCAATCTGGAGCCATTCGAATTGAGACCTGGAACGGTACGAACTTCACGCTGGATTATGGCACGAGCAATTCAGTTCCGCTGCAAGCGAATCTATTGAGAAATCTGGTGATTGGGCTCAGCAGCTACGAGACTGGCAAGACAAATGTGACTGTGTCCATCACATTTCAAATCAACAATCCTTTGGCAAGCAATCTCAGCAGAATCATACTCCAATTTCCGACCAGCGACTTGTCTCTTGCTGCTGCAAAACCTTCTTTAAAGATGTCTTTGGATGCTCCATACCAGGATTGCAGTCCACGTACACCTGGAGTCCCCGGTTACACTTCCGTTGAAGTCTGCGCCTCCCAACAGCTGGAAGGTGGAAGCACCGTCAGCTTCGAAGTTGAAGGATTTCGTAATCGACTTCATGCAGGAACTTTTACCAACAGCATTTTGATTGAAACCCAAGAGATTTTCAGTGGCAGTACCCGAATTCTTGATTTCGGGGCGGCCAAACCTGCAGCGGAACTTGAACCTTCGAGTCTGGCATACTTGAACGCGACATTTCCATCAACAACGGATGACTTTGGAAATGTGACTGTAGAATTCACTCCAAGCATCTCATTGTCTACCGGAACATCATTCATAGACATCAGTCTTACTCCGGGATTTGATGTCTCACAGAATTCCGTTGCTTACTTGGAAGGAGTTCGCAAGTCAACCTTCAATCAGAGCTTCATATCAATCGATCTTGATGGCATCGCTTTGATGGCAAACGTCAAGTACAGACTTATCATCGTCGGAGTTGTTTCTCCTTACTACACTATCGAGAGGGCTTTAAATATTACCACTCGGAATGGAGACGCTGCTGTCTTAAAAGCAGTTCAGAGAGGCAGGTATGCTGATGGATCTTTGAACGCATCGCCGATGCAACACTTGCAGATGCGTTTGTTGCCCCTTGTGAGTGGGGCAACATCTTCATTGAATATCAGCTTCCATTGTAACAAACAAGTTCCTGCTTACAGTGGGATCTTGCTCGATTTCCCGGACGGTTTTGATGTCACAGCGGTGCATGTAGTCAGGAAGCAGAACCTGTCGCTAGTGGCAGATCGTCTTTGCAACATGGAGATCTGCAACACAAGTTTTGTTATCAACTCCACATCCCATTTCTTGGAAGGCAATTTTACCTACGACTACAAGAGGATGTTCACTTACTTCGACTACTCTTTGACGGGCATAGGAGGAAGCCTAGCAGTTCGAGTCGATGGGACTTCACTTGAACTGACGCTCATCGATCGCATTATGAATGCAACTTGGCATCCGCCCTTGTTCAGGCTCAAACATTGCATGAAGATGGAGGCTCAGCAGTGCTCCCAGCTATGTTCCAGCAGCGTCGTTGCGAATTGCTCGGAGCTGATTCGAGATTCCTACTGGGTGAATGTGACTCAGCCGTCCGAGCCCTTGACTGTTGGGTCAAAGATCGAGTTTGAGCTGGAGGGTGTTGTCAATCCAAGAGTGAGCGGCCTGACCGGGAGCTTCAGGTTGAGAACTTTCTTGAGTGCTGCGAGGTATCTTGAGGGCTCTCAGCATGATGGTGTCTTGCTCCTACCAGCTGCCTTGACAAATCCGTTGATCCAGCTCAATGACAGCAACGCTTTCGCGGTTACCTCTTTCCAGTTGTATTTCGATGTGTTCAATGGTTTGCAATCCAAGGACATGATAAGGATCGTGTATCCGCCCTTCTTCCACTATGAACCTGCTGAAAGTTCAACACAGCTACATTGTCTGAACTCAAGCGTCATGGACGATCTTTCAATCATTGCGAGCAATTCGAGCTATGTGCTGTTGCAACGAAAGGGACTATCACTGCAGCAGTGCAGAGGTAGAGTATTTCTACAGTTGTCTGCAATTCAAAACAGGAACGGGTCAGCTGGAGATTCGGGAGCCTGGACAGTCGAGACGCTGGCATCAAGTTCAAACCTCACCATGGACAAGGGAATCTTCAGCGTTCAAATCACGACCGCACATTTCAAAGACGTCAAAGTTGACGTCACGGCGTTGGACAGCCGAGCTCCGACAGCTGGGCGAGAGGTCAACCTGACAGTCAAGCTACAAGTGAATCAACCCATGGTTCCTCCCGACTCTCGCATCGTCATTGACTTGGGATCAGACCTGTCGTTGACCAAAGACACAACCATCACATTCGCCTGCAAGGAGCCCTACGACTATGTGGACTACTGTCCAGGAGCATCCTGGAACTATACCTGCCCATTCTCCATTCTAGATGTTCAGCGGTCAGGACTGAATGTCTTGACGATCAAGAGACAGAGATGGTCTGTGCTACATGAGGCGATCGGCAAGACAGCAGAAGAGGGATCTGAGCTCACCTTTCATGTCTCTCCGCTTGCTACTCGCGCTACGGCAGGACCAATCCAAGCTCTCACATTTCAGCACGTCGCGTCAACGGCAAGAGGGTTGGAGGTTTACGAGCAAGACTCCGTCAAAGTCACCGAGCTATCGCCGTGCCTGAATGAAGCTCAGGTTGAGTTGCAGGAAGCTAGTCTGGGCTCGAAGACTTCAGTCACAGTCACGTTACGGGTATGTAGTGCTGTGGCGGTTGAAGAGAGGGTCGGACTTTTCCTCTCAGCCTTCATCTCCTGTCAAGATCAAGACTGCGACAGTTTCCGAGATGCCCGAAAGTTCTCCATCGCTGACTTCAATGTCACAAGTGCAGAGTTGGAGTACGCTGGTTATCATTTCGGGAATATTTCAGATTCCTCCATCCAGATTTCAAAGTGCAGCAATCAGGATGGATGGAATTTCGGGTCTCGATTACCAGGTTTGCTTTTCAAGCCTCGAAGGAGCATTGTTGCTGGCGAGCTAATCATCTTCACCATCACCGGATTTCGCAACCCGGTCATCAGCCCCTCGCTGCCTCCTAGGGCATACGTTCAGACGTTGAGCAGCTCACTCGAAGTTTTCGGTTCTGTCTGCACAGTTTTCAGTCCTGCTGGTGGATTTCAGTTGCCGACGGATTTTCAAACTGGTTCCTGGGTCACAGTGACCCCCAAGCTCACATATGCTGAGAGCAACTTTTCTCTCGCTCTCGTTTCTCCTCTTCCTGTCAGTCCCAATTCAACATTCAAGGTTCATCTCAACCTCCCATACCCCTATGAGTGGCAGGATCCGAAGTTAGTCGAGGTGTTTGTCGATGCCTTTCAAGTTCTCTCAGCTGAGTTGTCAAACGTCACTCGAACATCCCTGACAGTTGTCCTCGGCTCTGTCAACTTGACCTCAGTGCATGCTGCTCTACGCATCCTCATATCAGGCGTGCAGAATCCCAGCTATGAGGAAATCTCGCCTCTCGCTGTGAATGTAACGGTTGAGAGTGAGCAGGGTCAGGAGCAAGCAGAGGTGATTGGTTTGGAGATCAAAGCCGTGGCATTGAAGAAGGCTGTCTCGGGTCAAATAGCAAGTCAAACCGACCAGCAGTCTGTCTTCACGTTTGCTTTCACCCTCTCCTTGCATTGGGACCTTCGTGACAGCGTCAGAGTTCAATCTTCTGAGATGTTTGGAACGAAAACAAATGACGTGTTTTCTCAGAATGTCAATACGACAGTGCTGGCTAGCGATGACGTCTTGAGAGGCATCGAAGGGTCAAACCTGCTTTGGATCACACCATCTGGTTCAATCTTGTCTGGAGATGCCCAACTAACAGTGGAGGCTCAATCTCAAACTAGTTTTCAAGTTCGATTTGGACTGGCATCAGTCACAGTCTTGAAACTGTCTCCAACAGAAGACCAGTTCCACATCAATTGCTCCAACAACACGCGCGCCCCTCCCCTTCACAACGAGACTAACTGTACCTTTGAGCTCGATCATGTCTCTTCTATCCCTGCTCACTCGAGAGTTGCGTTTAGCATTGGAGGATACAAGAGCGCGAGGGTAGGAGGCGTCTACTCCTTCACCGTAGAGATCTGTGAGCTCTCTACCTCGCAAGCAAAGCAGAGACAAACTGCTGTCACCTTCCGTAGTCTCCTGCCGGCGAAAGATTCAGCTGCTGTCAACTTTACGAGCTGGGACAGACAGGCTTCTGTTGGTGAGAATGGCGATATCAGCATGGAAGTAGCCCTTGACTCGACAGTTTTCGGCCAGCAGCTGAGGTTGGATTTCCCAGCTGGTCCGAGGGGCTTTTTAGGAGTTGAAAGTATCACAGTGAAAAACTCTCCCGACGTTCTATTGATTTCAGCAGGCGGGAGCCAAGTGAACTTGGAACTGTTGGTAGACAACATTCAGTCAGTTCGTTTCACGTTACAAGGAGCATCGTTGCGGCTTCCGCTCCTATCAGGCTGGAGTGATCCTATTCAGATCATCTCGTCTCGAAAGTCAGACGGGAGGGCAATCAAGACTGCGGACGCGTCAGGGTTGATAGCTTCGGTCCCCTCCCTGAATAGCTCAATCCTTCCCTTGTTCTCTGCTGCTCGTTTCGGTGCGACTGTGAGTACCGTCGCAAGGGATAGGTACGTTGACGTGCTGATCAAGAACAGTCAACTTGTTCCGAAAGACGGTCAGTTTGCCTTGAGCTTCCCTTCAGTCTACGACGTTCTGGTTCCTGTCTGCGGAGGCGGGCCCTTGTGGAGCTGCACCAACAGAGCTGAGTGTGTGGAAGGCTGCAATGAGGAATTGAAGGTTGTGAAGGACATCAAAGTTGTGATTCTGAACAAGACAGTCAATGCTTACTTCAACTTGACGTTGCAGCGTCTTGGAGATGGAGTTGACATCGAAGCCGGATCCATCATTCGGCTGAGGCTGTACAACTTCTCCAACAAAGGATTCTCTCAAGCGCAGACACAGAACGTAACAGTCGATGAAACATGGAGAGAAAAGTTTTTGATGGCTACGGCGACGTCGCAGGGATATGCGATAGAGACAGGTTCGATGCCTGACTTCCAAGTGACTGCGTCAGAGTTTGAATGGCTCGACACATCATGGAGCATGAACAACGACCCAAGTCCATTGCTGTGCCCCCTCCGACAACCCGCGAGTCCATTGAGCAACGAGTATGCTGGAGCGAGGGCGCACTTCTCGTACTTGAGCATGAAGACGACTAATGCAGTTGCGTCCGGGTCTGTCCTGAGGTTCAGCTTTCCCAATGAGGACCTTGAAGTTGTCAGGACGACAGTGAACGCGTCACTTGCTATCTTCCGTTGCACCAACCTGTCAAGCAGTCTGGCTCGTTTGTCCACATTGTCTGCTCTTCGTGCGAATGATCGTGACACGTGCAACGGAACTTTTCAGAACTTCTCGTTTCAGGTGAATGTGAGTCAAGGCAGAGTTGTTCTTTCCACCATCCTTGGGGACTCGGTTCCTCCGGATGTAACGATCAACATGTTTGACATCGGGAAGTCGCCCGACGGTCTTGACAGTTTTCGCAACAAGAAGGTGTCAGGTGCTCATGGCATGTATACGTTAGAAACAGTAGACCCCTGGGGTGTTGTCGTTCACCAGCAAGACTTCTTTCCTGCGTACTGTGTCGAGGGTCGGACAGTGAGAGTTGTCACCAGGAACTATGACCTCACATCAAATTTCTCAGTCTCCGTCACAACAGACGTGGCAGGGGAATCAGGCGATCTGCAAGTCAAGTTTTCATACTCCCCTGTCATCGATCTTCCATCCTTTCAATCTGACAACTACTTGGTCGTTCACTTCCCATCAGATTTTGACATTGATTCAGCTACAGGCGAAGTTTTGTCGGGGTCAACCAGAGATTTTGGTTCTGCCGTCGCTCCCGGGACTTGCTTTGCAGAATCCTCAACGACTCCTCGTTTTTACTTCAAGTTGTCAGTGTTGCGCCGAGAGACTTCAATCATCATCAAGAGTTTCAGAAATCCTCCCTACGCGCAAGGTTTCTCCGTTGCTATCAACCACTCGCCTCTCAGAGGAACATTCTTGTTCGAAGTTTACGTCAAGTCAGGATCATGTTATCATTCGTTTGCTAGTGGCTCATGGCTTTCAACGGTCGTTCCTGGAACTCTTTCCTCAGCTGAACTGTTTCCACCTTCTCTTCCAGCTGGATCAGCGAAGGTCTCAATTCAGATCAAGTTCAAGCTTGCCAACATCGTACCAGAGAACGCAACCTTCATTGTTCGTCTGCCATCAAAGTTGCAATTCACTGACAAGTCTCGGATAGTTCCCAGCACCGAGGGATACATCTTCAAAGGATCGCTAAGTTCAGACTTTGACAACCAGACTCGGTTTCTTACACCCTACCAGTGCAGCTCTTTGTCATTGCAGTACTGTCCTGGCCCAGCAGAGAATTTCTCGTACTCTGTTGTCAGATGTTCTTCTTGTCATTTACAGGCAAGCAGTCCCTCGTTCCTTGCCGATACCCTGGTAGCCTCCAGATCCCCGAGCTTGTCAAACCAAACCTACACCATTCCAGACATTTGTGAACCACCGTCCATGACAGACATGGAACCTGGATCGTTCATTGTACCGGTTGGTTGCTCTCTGAACGGAGTCAACTACTCCAATCAGTCTGTTGTCATCGTCTACAGAGAGCTACCTACACCGATCTCTGCCAATCAAACAGTGTCTTTGACCATTCTTGATGTCATCTCGCCGGATGAATACAACATCTTGCCAGGAAACATTGACGTGCAGATTTGGTCCTCCATTCACAATGCACTTATAGACCGCAACAATCTCATCGCACTGCAGGCAACTCGAACAGGATCATTAGTTGACTTGGTTGCTCACCTTTCAAACGTACTTGTTGGACAAAGTACCATCCTTTATCTGAGCTTCAAGATCCCCGGCAAGGTCAATTTCCCTTTGAACATTACCATCGACATTGATCGGAGCATGACTGTTGTGGGCCCCGTGATTGACTTGAACTTGTCAAACACGTATAACATCAGTGGTACACCGTTGGTCAATGCAGTGACAGGCTCAACAAATCTCACCTTCTCAGTGCAATTGACATACCAGTCGACTGATACACATGTCATGCTGGCTGTTTCAGGACTCAGAAATCCGTCGGCAGGTGGAAGTTACAACCTAGTGAAGAAACTAGCGATCAGGAAACTTATTGGAGGAACCATCCAGGAAATGTACGAAGCTCCTCTGTCACCAATCTTTTACATAAATCCCGAGGGTTGCTCTATCAACACTCGGTTTGATGTCTTTCCGTTGACAACGGCCGATCTTGTCAACCTGACAGTCACCTTTGACCAGATTGTCAATGGCTCGAATGGTCTCAATTTCTCTGTCAGTGTTCCAACCGCTTTGCGTACTTCAGGAGCACTCAGATTGTATTCTGTTCTTGTGAACCAAGTGAAAGCAGCTCCTTCGGAGACGTCTGTCATTCTGCACGAGAGCTCTCAAGGATCTATTATTGTCGGAAAGGTCTCTGGCCTTTCGCTACTCTCCTGCCCTTGCACCATCAAGCTTGTTCTTGGACCCTTTCAAACAATGCAAGTGCAGCCTCCTATTCTCGTTGACAATCTCAAATTCCGAACTTTGTCCAGTTTTGACATAGCAAGCTATCAGCTGTCAGCCTGGGAGTCGCCGCTGTCATGGGGTTCGGAGACGTCAAGAGTTGTCTGTCAGTCATCCAACGCCTCTTTGACTCTCTCTGGTGCGGGACCGATCTCAAACCTCCTCACCTTGTCGTTGACGAATCCTGTCCTCGGGTATTGGGGCGGCCTTGACATCTCATTTGTGACCCCCGTAGCAGTGAAGAAGTCAAGTGTTATCGTCCTGAAATTTCCCCCTCGCTCCTTGTCCTTCTGTCGGTCAGTTGGAAGCAACCCTACGATCCGTGGAGCCCAGTGGTCCTCCTCACTCACCAGCAGAGCTTTGACTGAGGTCAACACCTCTTCAGCAACGCTCAACTTGACGTTTCCTGTACAATGCGGCGAGCCTGCCTACCCTACCATCTTGGTCAAGCCTCTTACACCTGATACCATCCCAGCTGGCGTCCGGGTGGCTATGAATATCTCGCTGGTGAGGATGCCAGTCAACCCGATCTCAGTCCAGCTTGAGGTTCAAATCTACAATGGGTCGGTCGACTTCGCCTCCGCCGATGGGTCCCTCAGCTCTGGTCCAGCTGTCCAGCAAGCCTCAGGACTCTCAACACCGGCAGCTGGGTTTGCGAATGTCGAGCTGCCGAGGAGCAATGTGTGGATCTATCCGGAATCAACGCTGGTGAGTGCAAGCACGTCCTTCAACGTTCTTTATCACAGCCGGACGGGGCTGCCGTCCGATGGCTACCTTGAGGTGGACTTTCCTGATGGTTTCGATGTCTCTCAAGCTTCAGTTGCCGGTGCTGCTCTCTGTGGTGCTGCCACCTACAAAGACAGCACCAGTTACTCGCTCTCCTGGACCTCCACCTCGATCAACTCCAACTTTAAAGACCGACAGATTTACCTGATGAAAACAACCGATTGTACGGTCTCAGAGTCCTTTTCATCTGACATGACAACCATTCTTCCCACCACCTTCTTCGGATTCACTGGTGGGGTTCGTAACACGCCATTTCAAGGCTGCGTCAACAAGGGATTCGCAACGTACAAGATTTCGAAATATTCTGTGACGGCGACCACGAGGGTGGTGGAATTCTCTTCAACAGTGGCAGGTGATTCAAACACAGTGCTCAGGTACGCGATTGACAACATGTGTAGCACTTGCACTACAGTCATCGAGCGTGTAGGGAATCGGACCCTCAGAGTAAGAGGCTTCGCAAACAGCTTTCCACCCTTCTCTCTTGTCAACGTGACTTTTCAAAGGATTCTCAACGGTCCCGTTGCAGGCATCGCGAAGCAGGGCTATGCTCTCCGGGCATATGACAGTGCTGGTCGTCTGTTAGAGAGAGCTTTGGATATCACCCCTACCAACTTGACCAAAGTAAGCACCAACGCGTTTGTTCGGCTGCAAGACTACTCGGCTCATGCGCGAGGAAGTTTCTATCTCTTTGTGGCCGCCACCAACCCGATAGCGGCTGGATCGGTGATCGTGATCTTCTTTCCTGCTGGTTTCGACGGAGCTGAGACGATCACACAAGCGCTTGTGCCTCCAGCCTCTGAAGTCCTTGACTTCCGACCCAGTTGGCTTCAGAACGCTGGCAATGTGCAGCAAGCGGTTGAAATGGAGGTTTTGAGCTCAGCTTGTCTATCGCAATGCTCCTCTCTGCGCGTGCGCGTCCTTTCTGATGTTGTGAGGGGAAAGATACTCTGCATCAAGTTGGTGGGTATGCTGAGAAATCCACTCCGTCCCACCTCATTCAGCAATCTAACTGTGCTGGTACAAGACAGCACAGGGCAGGAGCAGATGTACAATCAAAGTGTTCCTGGCTTCTCCATAACACCAGGCAAGTATGCAAACATGCAATTGACAACCAACAATTCGATCGTCGGAGAGACCTCAGAGCTTCAGTTTCAGTGGTACTCCGAGTCCGGAGTCGCCAGTACCGACTACTTCCAACTCCAAGTGCCACCGGCCTACGAATTCGTATGGAAGAGGAGTGATACACAAGAGGCCGTTCAGGTCCGAAGCTTCTCCAACTTACGGGGCATCCTTGCAGTGTATGCTGTCAATGGCAGCACCATCATCATCCGCCGAGACACTGCGATTCCAAGTCAAAACGTGTTGGTCAGCTTTTCGTTGGGACCCTTCAAGAACAGGTGAAATGTTCACATATAAGATGTATGTGTGATGCTGATGATGTTACAGGCGAGAAGCATCAACAAACTACAACAATCAAAGTGTTATTCCTGGCAATTTCACTCTCACCCTCTTTGATGTGAACAACAAATCAGTGGAGAGCTCTATTATCGTGGGTCCAGCACTAACAGCCAAGTATCTTGACGTGGAACTCAATTTCTCCGACTCCCGATCATCCTCGTTTTCGAATCTCACATTCGCTTTCACCTTGTTGAGATCTTTCAGTTTTTCGGACAAGCTTATGATAGTTCTTCCACCGGGGTTTGCGGTATTGCCGCAGATTGGCTGCACTTTTGTTGTGAATAATGCGTTTCCGTCAGTTTGCTCCGTCTTCAATAAGAAACTGATCAATGACACGAAACTCTTCGTCGGCCTTGAGTTGAGAAGCTTTGGAAATCTCAGCTCAGGACAGAGTTTTTCTCTTACTCTCAGCAACGTTCTGAATCCTAAGGCAGGGAGACAATTGACTGGTCCCTTCCTGCTCATGACAACTGATGGTGTTTGCAGCATAGCATCACTTCAGTCTTGCTACTCGACCATCCTGTCAAACTACCGGGCAAACAAGGACTATCAAATTGTTGAAGGAATGATGTCAGGAACCATCAGTCTCTCTCAATCCCTAGCCGGAGACCAAGTTCAGCTGTCAGTCGACCTGACAACTCGCAACCCATTCCCAGCAGGGGGGAGTGTAGTAGTCAAACTCGCTCCAGATTTTTTTGCGGTTGAAGGAGTGCGGTACTGTTCTTCTTTGTTGTTGAACGGAGTCTGCAACAACCCATGCCATGACGGCATCAACTGCGCCGTCGGCTTGAAAGCTGATGTTCAAGTCTTCTCTGCAGATTCAGGGCGTGAGGTGGTGCTTGTCAACAGTATGCAACCAACTCTTTTCACCGATTCCGGACTTGTGTTTCTGCCAGGTCTGCAAGACTTGGGGGCAACGGATGCCTTGTACGTTCCCGGGTTCGAAGGGGTTAGGATAGCTTTCAATATCTCTTCCATTCGAACGAGACAGGTTTCTGGTCGCGCAGGTCTGTTTGACATCTTCACGAGAGACGCCAACGGAATGAATGTTGACCGATTGACTGACTACGCCGACTCCTCATTGTTTCAGCCCAACTCTCTACTGTCAGTCGAAGTTGCTCCTCTCAGCCTTGCCGCGGGTCTTGTCACTGCCTTGTACGTTCGCTTCGAAAATTTCAATCCGATCCCTCAAGACGGCAGCATTGAGATCGGCCTGCCTCAGAGCTTTGCCTTGAGTGATGTCCGCATTCCTAACGGAGTCTTTCCAGACTCGTCTGGCATGAAGTATCTCAACGGAAACATCAATATCTCACACGTCAACCAGACCTCAGTCGTTCTTTCGCTCGTCCACCTCAACGAGTCGATAGCTTCCAACACCAATGTCAGATTGTTCTTGCAAGACATTCATAACCCTCTAGAACAAGGATTGTATTCCATGCCAAAAGTGAGAACCAAGTCCTCAGCCAACCTTGTCATCGATCAAGATCTCCAGGTGCTTGCAAACTCAATCCTCCCTGCTGTGATGCAGTCTGCAACGCTGTATCAACCTGCTGGTCCTGTAGTTGGCATTGGTCAAGATCAAAAACTCAATTTTGTTGCTCGAACTCTTATCAACGGTCATGTCAAAATATCGTTCCCCCCTTCATTCATATTTGCTATCAAAACCGTCCCCGTCAAGGAGATCAAGAAGGATGGTCTTACCCATTGCAGTAACAACTGTCAACTTTCAGCAGCTGTTACACCCTCTAACGTTGAGCTCTTACGAGTGCAAGGTGTCATACCATTCTCAGTGTTTGCTGACAGGGTGCAGACTGTAACGGTTTATGGATCAGGTTTCTCGTCTCAACTTGGACCAGTGATACCTGTCTTGGGTGGCGAAGTACTCCAGGTCATGTCAATGACGGACGTACGAATGCTGGTCCAGATCACTTGCCCTGCTAGTTCCTACTGCCAGATTCAATCTTCAGACAAAAGAATGTTGTCAATCGAATTGAGCTACACCACAGAGAAAAACTTGACGCTTTTCACCGCTGACAAGGTCAACATTACCTTATACAAACCAGTGGCTGGTGCATGTCCAAACAACTGTGGAGGGTCGAAGAGAGGTGTTTGTACAACATCTGTTTGCACCTGTTTCTATCCTTTCACAGGGATCGATTGCAGCACTGCTCCTTTCATTCGCAGTGTTTCACCGAATTTCGCCAGTTCTTCGGGAGGCTCCGTCGTTGAGCTCTCAGTCACAAGTCCTTATCCTCTTTCCGACCTGGGCAGGAGCTACAGGTGCATCTTTGACACTAGGATTGTGACGGCTGTATACAACAGCGCAAGGCAAAGCTTGACGTGCACAGTTCCTCCTATGACGAACAATGATGCAATCCTCATAGATATTTCGATCGATCAAGGCTTGACATGTGAGGTCGAGGGCTGCTGTTTCACCTCAGACCCTTGCTTCATCGGCGCCTTGTCGGGTCGACCACTGTCATTCAGCTATTATGATGCTGCAGCTGTACCAACAGTGGGCTATCTTGAAGTAGACGCTTCGTTCCATGCTCACATCTTCACGCATGGGTCTCATGCCGGGTCTGATCTGCCTCATGCGCATATCGTACATGTCGCAGACCTTGTGAGTGGTACAGTGCAGGACGCCACGAGGTTTGGGTTCCACCTGGAGCCAGGAAAGGACTGCGGTCAAGATGCAGGCTGCGTGGGGTTCACGGTAGTCTTCCAAGGAAGCGACTTCGAGCAAACAGCAGAGATCCTGAGCTACTCGCACACAGACAAGTATGCCACCATCTCGGAGATTGCCATCGCTCCAACGTCTGGCTTCACTTACACCATCGGCCAGTACCTCGTCGCTCGATCCCTCACCGTCGATCGCTCGTGTGCGTGCGAGCGAGGCAGCTTTGACTGTCACTGCTACAGCCGCACCGGCTACCACGACCACGTCTTGATTCATAGACACCTGACCTCACCTCCTCACGTGCACATGATTCACCTCGCTACCCCCGCCATCGGCACTCCTCCACCCCTTGCAAACTTGAGTCAAACCAAAGAGATGGATGAATCGATCGCGAGACTCTTTGCCGGTGGTCCCTATGACATTGTTCCATGGCAGTTCGTTCAGGGGCTGACCGACTTCAGTATCCTCGAAGAGGACATGATCAGATCAGACGGCTACGACGTTGAGTTCAAATTGCCCTTCAACGTGACCTCTGCGACTGACATTGATGTTACCTTTGACAGCTCCAACCTGATCATGATGCGGCAGAGCTCGGGGCCGTCGGGAGTCTTTCAAGTTCGTACGATGGATTACTCAAGGCAGACGGCATGCCTTAAGTCTGCTCGAGCTTGCAACACTGTGGTGGAGCGAGGCTTGTTGGTTTCGTCTGTGTTGGTCACTCCTGGCACTTTGACGCTCTCAGTTGCTGCTTCGGTTCAAACTGCCGCAAGTCGGTGTGATCTTCTTTTCAGCTTCAAACTTCAGAATCAAATTCCTAGCGCAAACGGGAAACCAGGACACTTGGAAATCTTCTTGCCAAAGGTGGTCAAAGTGGACAGAACGAGCTCGGTTTCAAGGTGTGGTAGCGTGGCTTGTGACAGTTCTGACTCTGTCCCTTACTACTTCTCTCTTGTCCAGTGTAGCTCTCCAAACTATGCCAGCGCAGAGCCATGCAAGGCCGCGTCAAACTACATGCTGGCATCCAAGTATCCAGACTTGTTCAGTGACAGTCAGATTGTCCTTGTGGAGCTTGACAGCGCCTTGCCCGTCAACGAGGCTCTCACGTTCAAGCTGTTCAACGTCGTTCTACCCCCGTTCTCAGGGCAAACTGACCCCTTCTACATGCGATCTACGGTTGCAGATGGCAGTGTGGTGGACTCCGGAATGGCTTCAGGTATCAGCATTGAGCCTCAGGCATTTCTTTCAGCAGACCTTCAGCACAGTGACGAGACTGTCTTAGCTCTCAGCAGCTTTGTGATCAATTTTGTTCCCATCGTTCCTTTGTCGTCTGGCTCATCTTGCAAGATAGAATTTCCGTCAAACTTTGACATTGCTAACATTCAAATTTCTGTTGGGAATATTTCCTCTCAGAATTTCAGCCTCGTCAACAGAAGCGCGACCTTCACATGCGCGTCTGCTCACATTGTTGTTGAGAACGTGAGGAATCCGGACAATGTGGGCTTGAGTGGGAGGGTGAGGGTGTCAACTTTGGTACAGGAGGGAAGTGCTTACGAGCTACAATCGTTTCTGTCGCAACCTCTGAGTGTAAGAGAAGCTCATTTTGACAACGTCATGATCGATCTGACCGACTCGTTCACATCTGCCGTGTCAACCATCAAGATTTCATTGAAATCTCCCATCTCTCTCAATCATGCGACGAGCTTGAGGATCTCTTTCCCTTCTGGGTTTTCAATCAGATGCAGGAGAGACATCGGTAGCTTGACGTTTCAAGATGGTTGTGAGACGCCATTTGAAGCGTTTGACTCCAACGGAAAGAACTGTACCGGAAGGCATTGTACCAGCTGCCCGATTGCCTATATCATCGCACAGATTCCTTCCTGTGTGTCGAACTCCTTGTTTGTTGCCAACTTCTCCATTCCAGATCTTGTCAACCCAGACTTTGATGGAAGGTTGGAGGGATTTTCGCCAAGCTTGGAGAAGCAGGGGAGTGTGTTAGTCGTGAGTACGGGCATGCCAATACCCAACCTGTTCCTCTATCCCCGGAAACTTCTGTCTAACATCAGTTTGACTCCGCCTTACGCGGGAAGTGAATCAGTGTTGAACTTGTTTGTAAACAATTCTGATGGAAACATTACAGATCCTTTCCTTGTGCTCGACATCCCAGCGTTCTTTGAGTTTGATCGTAACGCTGTTCATATAATGATCAACGGAAATTCTTGCACTTGCATGCGAGCAACCAACGAAGGGTGCTGTCAGTATGGGCGAAGTTTTTACCTACGCCCCACGATCAGGCTGCCTCCTGCGCTCTCTTACAACCTGACGATCACGGGGGTGAAGAATCGTTTGACGGCAGGCAGCGCCACTTTTACCTTGCGGTCTGCAAACGACTCAAAGACGATGAAATTCACGAGTCAAGCTCTGATCGACACATTCATAGATCCATACCCCTTGTCAAACAGCTCAGTCAAGCCTTTTCTGCGCGAAGTTGTCAAAATCCAACCGAATGGAGCGTCTGAGGGAGTGTACATTGCTACTGGCGAGTTTCACGCTGGGTCAATAATGATGTTGAATGTGAGTTTTCAAGCCATACCAGGACATGCGTTCTCTAACCTGAGCATCGCGTTTGACCAGGGCTTCAACTTGGATGAAGCTCAAGTTCAGTTGGAGCCTGGGATTCGGGACTATGTGAGCAGTTCAAACACCACCGGCAATGACCTTCTCTGTATTTCTCTTCCCCTCGAATTCGCTTCACAGTATCAACTGTGTAGAGCACGAGACGTACCAGCAATCAACCTTGACTTGACAGGCGCTTCCAGCAGACTCCCTGCAGTCATAGAGTTTCAGATCTCTGGGATCAGAGCTCCGACCAGCCGACAGGGAGAGTTGATGGACTTGAGGATCCAGACCATCTCATCACGTGGGTTTGTGGTGGACGAGGGTCGCTCACACAAGTACATCTTGAAGCCCGGGACTCTTAGAGACGTTGAGATCAAGATGATTCCCTCTATTCGATCTCCTTTCCCTGCCGTGAATCAAACCATGTACCTCAATGTCTCCTTTGCCTTCTCTACTGAATTCTACCCGGAAAGTGAAGTTGCTCTTAACTTCGGTCTAGGACTGCGGCAGAATTTTGATTTTGTGGGCATGGGAATACCGGATTACTTGAACGTGTCGGAAGGGAGTAATTTTGAGTTCATTGCAATGGAGGGAGTAGATGTTCCTACCAAGACAGTGAGAGCGTACAATGCAGATGTCAACTTTAGCAGTGGTAACTTGAGCTTCTCTGTATCCTTCAACAGCCACTTTGATCCAGGAGACAGGATTTGGTTTGTCCTCTCCAACATTCGGAGGATTGATTCGAACAGTACTGGCAATGAAACTGTCAGCAGTGACGCGACCGTTACTCTCGTGGCCAAGAACCGCTCATGCACTGATCCATCATGTTATCTTGAATCAGCAGTGAGCAACATCACCTTCTACAACTTCAATCAGACTTCTGCATGCTCAACGGGCACGTTAGACAGCACGAGCTTTGTTGCCTGGTCGCAGAGCTTGACCAGTCAGCTTGACTGTCAGAGCAGCTTTAGCGCAATGACACCAGTTGCTCCATCAGACATTACACTAAAAGTTGTCTCAAATTTGACGATGTCAATCTCTTGGAAAAATCCAACCCCGGATTATTCTACAAATCAAGATTACTTCTTTCTGGGCTATGAGTTTTTGATTCGACTCTTTACAGGGCAATCGACCTTGTTCACTGAGACCAGGAGTCATCAGTGTTGTGCCGGCTATACTGAATGTTGCCAATTCAATCAGCTAGATTACAATCCAGCAAACAAGACGAGCAATCTTAATGGGAAAGGAATTGGGGTAAGCATAAGAATCAAGAATGCCTTCGGGTTCGGCCCCTACAGCAGCGAACAAACTTCAGTCATCGTCGGAGCTCCATCGGCACCCTCTCTCACAACAGTCATCATGGGCACCAACCTTATCTTGAACATAACGAGACCACAAGATATGGGGGTAGGTGTCAATGTCGACCCTTCGAACAGCTTGGCAGCTCTCGCCTACTATGAGATCCAGTACAAGCTCAGTGATTCAAACAAGTGGCTGCTTCTAACAGAAACTGCAAACACCATCATCGTATGGAACCTCTTTGTTGAATTCTTGGAAGGAAAGAGTTATGTGTTCCGAGTGAGAGCTTACAATCGGATCTCTCCCGGAGACTGGCTTGAGCTCACAGAGCCCCTTCTGATTACGGGCGTCCCCGATGCTCCGATAATCAGAGATGTAGAGATGAGATGGCTGCAACTCAAGGTGACCATGAGCAACCCAGTGGTCAACGCTAGCAACACAAGTTATGACGTACTAGAAGCTCAAGTCATCCAGCTCACTGAGAGCAACTTTGAAGCTTGCTGCAACAGTGAACCCTGGAAGGACTGCAGTGCGAGAATATCGAATGTCAGTTACGCCACCACACACAACTTCACTGTCAGTGTTGCTCAAGGGACCCTCGCTCGTCTTGGCTCGACAGACCTTTATGTATTCAATGCAACTGCTGTTGAGTTCAGAAAGGCGTATAGGTACAAGGCCAGAACTCGCAGCGTGGTGGGATGGAGCACCTGGTCTGAATGGTCCCCAGCAGTTCAGATGCAATCGAATCGACTGCCCTCGGTGTCGGCACCTGCAGCAGAGTACAAGGAAGCGATGAAGGCCTCGATCTCATGGCAAGTGAACGACTCTTTGACTAGAGATTACATCTTCAAAGTCACGCAACGGCATCTACCTTCTTATCCCTTCGCGGGAGTCAGTGATGCCTCGCAAGTCCAGGACGTTTCGACGCCTTCGGAGTACCTGAAACCAGACACGCCTGGATTTCAGTCGCTCAGGTCATGGAACGCGACCGATATAGAGCATTTTGACTCGGACGGCCAACATTACGTCATTGTTGCTAGTTACAACTCACAGAAAGCCTCCAACCCTGGCGCTACAATAATATACCGTAAGAGAATGGCTTGGAGCCTATTTGAAGGCGAATGCCGCGGCGACGCGTATCATTATTGCAATCATTTCAAGGCCAACAAGGAACTGTTTCCTAATGACATCACGTTTGCAGGCAATCTCTCCATCCATCAAGTTCTGTCGACCTTTGGAACCACTCGCATCAAGGTCGTCAAGGTAACGGAAGAGGAAAACAAAGTCTTTCTCTTCACAATCAACGAAAGAAAGCCTTCTGGTTATATCTGTGTAGATGACATGACCGGAAGGCCCGTGAATGGTACCTGGGACGCAACTGTATCGTGCAATCACAGCATGGCTGGTTCTTGTGCATTTCCAAATCAGACTTGCCTAGCAAATCCTACCTTACCAATGGTGGCAGGACATGAAGTGATGGTGTACTCATTTCGTAGTGATGGATACTTTCATTATCAGCAGACATTAGATCTCAAAGCTGTCAGTGATGTGAAGCAAACTTATGAATGCAACTCAACAATGGTAATCTTCGCAAAGACAAGTGACAACGTAGAGATATACAAGTGGAGCAAAGCTGATCAGTCCTTCGTACCCTTCCAGATCATCTCATCGGATGGAAGTCGAGCGGTTGAGACCTATAGAGATGAACACGATTCGCTCTGGATGTTCATCTCCCACACCTTGGCTGCAGACCTTCTGCAAAATGTTTACAAGTGGCACAATTGCTCCTTCATAGCAAACAACTCGATCCCTGACATCAACGATGGGGACTGTTTGCATTCTGTCAGGATTGAATCTCGAGATCTTTTCATCAAGTGTTCTGGTCAAAATATTTCTGTTCTTGATATATCCAAACCAAACATGGCGCTTATACAACACATAGAATTTGAAGGCCAGGTGCAGGTTCAACCGTTCTCTATGCTCAACGGCAACGCAGTCAATTACTTCTGCCTGGTTGCTTGCAGAGGTTCATATCATTCAGTGCTGATCAAATGGGAAAAAACAGTTGCCAGCACTGGAGTTGTGTTGTTTGAAGGATTTGTGGCTTTCCGATATCTTTACACGGCAAACCCTCAGCGGTGGACTGTCTTCAAAGTTGACAGCAGCTTGTTTGCAGCTGTTGCTACCATGACTCATTACGAGGCGACCAATGAGCGATCCTCGCAAGTTCTACTCGGCTGTCAACATTCAGATGTTCAGTACACGTCTGCAGACTCTTGTTGTGCCAAAGCCGGTTCATTCTGCATCGCACAAGGTTCCTCATACTTTGATATCTTGTGGAATGGAACTGCTTCTTTTGTGCCTGTCTTTCAGCTCTCTCAATATTATTGGCCGACTTACGACATTCAAGAATCTTTTGCGTGAGTGATTGTTTCCCTTTATTTGAAAACCTTGACTTTGTTTTCAGGTGTAATATGCACACTGAAATCAACTTGACCTGGGCATCGGCTGGACCATCATACGATATGTTTGGCGACAAGACCATCGTCTCCATTCAATCTTACAACTTTTACGGTCTCGGTCAAAAATCGACAACAGTCGACGTGAGGGGAATAGAGCCGCCAGCGCCTCCTTCACGTTTGGTTGTTGCTAACGGGGATGCAAAGACTCTGGAGATTTCCTGGACTGCTCCGTTAAGTGATGGTGAAATCAGGCCCGACGAAAGACGATCAGATCCGAGCAAAAGGATAATCGACAAATATTATGTTGTGCTCTACCATTCAGACTGCAATTCAGTCAATCAGCTTTCAGTTCCGGCGTATGAGGCGTTTGTTGATTCAAACACTTTTAGTCGCACTGTAACTGATAGAAACTTCGTGACTGGTGACCAATACTGCGTTCAAGTACAGGCTGCGAACCTGCTGGGATTTAGCGAAAAGATTGACAAGCTTGTGTACATGCTCAAGAAACCAGGACCTGTCGTTCGATTCGAAGCATCCAACCTTCCAGGTCCCATGTCAGTTTGTGTCTCTTGGGAGTTTCCAAGCGACGTCGGCTTTGGGCTAGCAGAAACTCCAGCAGGATTCACAGACTTTGAGATTGAATTTTTCTTATCTCCCGTCCCGGTAGCATTCTATCCCGATGGAACCTTGAACAACGCTTCTTCTGCGCAGAACTTCACTTTCACAGCCCTCGATCCGAGGAATACGACCTTGGACCGACAGCATCTAGTCAAAGGAAAACATTACTACCTCTACGCTCGCTGCAAGAACAAGGCTGGGTACTCTGATGTTACTTTTCTGACCTTCTGCGCGATTGACTTGCCAGCTCCTCCGCAACTACAATCGGCTCTTGTGAGTGGAGCGCTGTCAGTGAATGTCTCCTGGACTACACCCAACGATATAGGAGTCGGTTATGAAAGCACTTGTCCGAATGTTTCTCTGTCTTGGGTCGTGATCCAGGTGTCTGTCAACAGCAACTTCGCCCCTCTGATGATCTTCGCGGGTCGTGATCATGTCAAGCAGGAGGCTGCACAGAGTTGGGTGCTTGTTCGCGGGTTACAGAAAGCAGTCAATTATTTCTTCCGTGCGTTCTCTGACAACGTTGTCGGGTCCAGCTTACCCTCAAATGCTCTGAGCAGAAAGGCTGCGGCACCTCCATCTGCTCCCTTCATCAACAGCACAAGCAACGTCAACCCGAATGCTATTCTAGTCAACCTGCTTCTTCCTTTGGACACGGGCTACGGGGACACATCGCTTGAGATCATCTCCTATGATCTTCAGTTCTGTCCCTCGCCAGACTTTACCGGGAATGGCCTCAAACAGTTTTCATCTCCCCAACTTTCGTTTGAAGGTCAAGGCCTCGTGCCTGGCATCCTCTACTACATCCGAGCTGCTGCTGTCAGCGCAGCTGGGAGAGGAACGTGGTCACTCGCAGTGTCTCAGGTCTGTGTGGGCGTCCCGTCGGCTCCTCACATCACAACGGCCGTTGTTTCAGGCCCTCTCACCATCTCCCTCCATTGGACTCGCCCGGCGGATACAGGCGTTGGTCCTGACGCCGCGTACCCGCTCACCCAGTACGCCGTGCAAGTCTCAGCTTCTAGAAGCTTCGAGGATTATTCCGAGGTAGTCGTAGATTCTGACATGTCCCTGCTCTCTCGGGAGTTCAAGCTAACGAGTGCAAATATCTCTCTCAAGTTTGAAGCCGGGCAGGTGTACTTCTTCCGGGTAAGAGCGCACAACCTTGTTGGTGCTGGTGCTTTCTCTCAATACAGGACATGTCGTGCAGCGGATCTGCCTTCACAACCTCTTGGGTTCAGTTATGTCTTGCAGCAGGGTTACTACATCTTCTCTTGGAAGTGGCCACTTGACACAGGCACGGGAGACAACACTTACCCTCTGGTGTCGTACGTGCTTCAAGTGAACAACACCAGCTATGAGGTGTTGCCACTAAGAGAAGTCTACCGGTTGTCAACCAATCTATTAGAGCCCAACAGCCTGTACGAATTTCGAGTAGTTGCAAAGAATCTAGCAGGAAATGGCCCACCATCCGACTCTCTGTTTGATTCCTTTATCGGACCCTCGCTGCCCCCACTCAACCTGAAAGCTTTCTTGTGGTCAAGCTCCTCAATTGGCCTAGCTGTCAACCTGACCTGGTCGATGGAGTCCAGTAGGATCGCAAACAGCAGATTGAGTTTCGAGGTTCAAACGTCTTTGACTTATGACTTCCAAGCTCCTCTTGTTGAATTCACGCCCATGCTGGACAAGCTGTCTTCCTTGTTCCGCTTCACCAAGACAGGGCTGACAAGCGGAGTCATGAATTACTTCAGAGTCATTGCATTAGCCGACAACGGCTTCAGCCAACCAAGCAACATAGTCAACATTTCTGATCGCTTGATGCCAGTACTCTTGGATACCATCCCCAAGCTTATCCCATGCCATGGCAACAGTGAAATGAAAATCGTTCTCCGACATTTCGCCTTCGAGCTTGGGAGCGATAGGAGCAAGTATGGACTGACATTCGATGGCACAGCCGCGACGGTCAATGCGGTGGTGAGGCAGAGCTCAAACCTTGAGGATAACAAACCAATCTTCTCAATCCTAAGCATCACGTTGGGAGAGAGACAGACTCAGTCGGGAGGAGAAGGTCTCGTTGAATTGTTTTACAACGGTCAGAGCAAGTTGATATTTGCTGTGCCTAGAGAGATCTGCGAGGCTCCAAAGATCCAATCAGTGCTGGGCAATGGAATCACATACAATCAAACTTTGAAAACGTGGCAAGGCGCTAGATGTGGTCAAAACATAACACTTGGTTTAGCAAGATTGCAGGATGTGACGAGCATTCAATTAGCAATTATTGATAGGAATGTATCGACCTTTGTTCCCTACCTACTTTCTCCACAAACAGCAGATACCCTTGAAGGAAGAATTCATTTCCTTCAGTTCAGACTTCCCACAGCTGCATGTTCATCGACAGTCATACAGATTGAACTTCACATGTCATCCTTGAACCTCACTTGCGCTCTCTCTGTCGCTCCTGGCACAGGGCACAGTCTGCTTAGTCTTGGACCTGCTTTCATGTATGCAGGGGAGGAATCCAATGTCACCCTGGGACTGGCAAGTGAACATCATGAGACGTTGAATGTTTACTTGGAATCCGAACTTCTTGATTGCAACGTTAACCTTTCGATTCCGCTGAGGACGTCAATCCGTTGTAAAATACCCGCGATGAATGCGGTTGACTCCCAGTTGAAGCTTCTGCGGGTCGTTGACTTGCAGGCCTCAGTCGTTACAATCGGTTACATTGACCTTGTGGTTGATCCCGTGCGATTGTCTTCATTTCTGGCGTATCCTGTCAATGGTGTTGCTATCAACCATTCCCTTTCACTTTACGGTGACCCTGCAATCTTGCATCAAGACAGTCAAGATGTTCTGTTGTTCGAAGTAGCAACTACTTACAAGAAGATTTCTAGGACTTCAATCATGCATATAAACATTTCCAACAACCATTCCCAAACTTTTGCTCTCAGTGGGATGAAAGCTGAATTGATCATGCTTGGGCTGAATACCATTCGCTTCAGATTGAATGTGATCTCCATCTTGTCTTCTATGACTGAATTCGTGCCTCATGGAGTGTACGCAATCGAAATCGTTTTGTCCAGTGGTGAGAGGCTCAAAAACAAAGAAGCTTTCGTGTGGCTACCAGGACAGAAATGCGAGGTGTCGTCTGCTCCAGCTTTTGCTGTTCCAGGGTCCAACCTCTCTCTTCGCTTGAGCCTTCCATCCTGCTTGAACTGCGATCGACCTGTTCCCAAAAGCCTTTCGTCCCTATCTAACTTGACGGTCAGACTCGGTATCTCGATGGATTCTTGCTCGGACAGGCTCGGAGACTGCGAAACATATGCGGTGGGAGGATTCAATCATGGTTGGTGTGCAGTAGACAATGTCTGTCAAGCATGTGCTCTATCGTGCTTCAACGATGCCTTGTGCGGGGGTTTGACGGAAACAGTTTGTGGGTATGAGGCGTCTATAGAAGGTATCCAGCAAGCAGACAGCTTCACAGCCGTTAGCTTGAAGTACCCACTCTTAGCCATGGAAGGCATCGGTCTTGTTCGTTCGGACAAGGACTCGTGCTTCTTCTACCTTCCCGACCTAGCGAAATCACCTCAGCGACCTGTCCGTATGATGCAGGTCAAGAGACTCTCGTCTACCAGCGGAGAGATGATAGTCAGAGTTGAGAACCTACCACGAATCTTGACAGATGAAATTGTTGAGATTCGATTCGAGTCCAGTAGGCTGCTGTCAATCCTTCGAGTATCGTGGAATCCTTCTTTTTGTGATTTCCTGGTCCAGACCCCCTCTGCCTTGGGCTTGTTTGGCTTAAGGAACTTGAGCCTGTGGATGGCGGGAACTTACGTTAGCAGCTTCCTCGCTGACTTGTCATCAGACGTGAGATCAGCGATGGAGATAGTGAGTCCTCGCCGGATTTTCCAGAACCAGGTTGTTGCCCTCACAATCAAAGTGAGCAGAGCTCCGGCATTGTCTCTTGACCACCTTGAGATGTATCTGGACGGTCAAGCCATCAAAGTGTCGCATTTGAATCAGACGGACACGCCCTTGATTTCTGCGGATAACGTGTACACTGGAGAAGCAAGAGAGGCTGTTCTAGTGCTGAGAAGTACTCTTCATCAGTTGGTCGAACTTGTGCTGCCGATTACAATCGAAGGTCAAGTACAGAATCCAAGGATTCGACGGATAGTTCCCACCTCAGTACCTAGCACTGGAGGATTGCTGGAGGTGGAGATGGAGAACGTGGTCGGTTCCCATACCGAAGCATCAATTCTAGTCTATGTGCTGGTCGGCAGCCAAACTCTCCCCGTTTCAATCTCCTCAGGATCTTTGATCATCGGACTAAACTCAATGACAATGCAAGTTGTACTGCCTGATGTCTCTGACGTTTTGCTGTCTGGAACTGCAGAGCTGCAGATTGTGATGAATGAAACTTTAACTTCTCTCATTGACATCTTCGATTCCCAATGTGCCAGCATATCTGCAGTGTCACCGTCGCAGATGTCCATGGATGGAGGTACTAAAGTGACTGTTAAGCTGCAAACATTACGTCTATTCAGCAGCAGTCTTGACTTCATTGTCAATGTCGGTCTTGCCTCCATTCCAGTCACAAAGTTTGAGCAGGTGGGAACAACATGTATCTTGCAGTTTGATTCCCCGAAACAATCGTTGCAAGCCCCCGCAAACGTATCTTTGCGTATAAGTATCAACGGACTCCCTCCACGCTGTAAAGTAGAAACCGAAGTCAGAGTCTACCCGCCATCTCCGAAGCTTCTTTCGGTCTTCCCTCAGAACATCTCAGCGCTTGGAGGGGACTTGGTTTCTCTGCTCCTTGAGGACGTGGACCCGTCGGCTGTCTCAGCTGTCAGCCTTGAAGACATTTCTCTTCAGTTTCAATCGGTTCAGATCTCGAGGGCTGAGACCGTAGTCACCTTTGTTACCCCTGCTCTCATGAAGGGACCTGTACTGATGAGGTTGCTGGGCAAAGACAGCGAGTTCAGCCACATCCTCACTGTGATAGACTCAAACACAGTCAGTACAGCTGACTTGAACCCCAGCAGAGGCTCAGCGGCAGGTAACTGGTACCTGCAGGCAAGCTTTGATGTCCTCGATTCAACGTCTCTGGTCTCTGGTTGTACTTTTACAGCTTCCATGGGGCAGAGAGTGATGGAAGTCACAGACGTGCAACGGGCTTTGGCAAAGTCTGTCAACAGCGTCACTTTGACCGCTCTTGTTCCTCCCATGCCAACAGGCCAACATCATGTAAGCTTCTACAGCGTCTGCCCGAGCTCTGACCGTCCAAGGCTGACTGCTGTTGGCTACCTCAACATTGAACAAACCAATTCATTTCATGTGGACCGAGTGTTTCCTCCGCGGGTGCAATCGGGCCATGAGCCAACGCTCAATCTGCGGCTTCAGCGAGTTCCTCTTAACGCCACCGTCTCTGACTTTGACGTTGACATCGCCGGTGTTCCTTGCGTTGCTCTCGATCTGTCCCTATTCCACCTGGACTCGGCCTGGCTCAGCTGCTCCCTGCAAGAAAGTTTGCCCGTGGGCTCATGGCCTGTCAACGTGTTCTTGCTGAAAGCCTCCGAGAACCCGCAGACTTCCAACTTTCGTCTTTCAGTCGCAGGTGGGCCTCACCTCGTGCTTGCCGAGCCATCTTCCGGGCCCGCTCTTGGCGCAAATGCTGTGAGAATCCTTGCCCAGAACTTTCCTCTGACATCCATCAAGCAAGCTTTTATTTCTGTGGGGGGAAAGCCAGCCAGCCCATTCTTCTTGAGATCTGGAAGTACTTTCGAGACGGAGTTTTCTTTTGTGGTACCTCCAACCAAGTGTCAGCAGGCCTGTGAAGCTCCGGTGAAGATTATAGACATCGTGTCAGGCTCCTCAATTACTTTCAATTACCTCTATCAACCTCCTCGATTGCAAGCGTGGGGTCAACAAGTGTTCAACACTGAAGGGACAGTTGAATTTCAGCTTTCAGTGACGGGTATTCCCGAAGTCAGAAGCAAGCTTGAACTTCAGGTTGCGTTGGAGTCAAGATGGTTGCAAGATTCAGAGTTTGACCTTGTCTTCGCTCATCCTTCACTGCTCATCATCGCAGTAAAGCCCATCGGGAATCAGTTTGACGGACTAGATGTCTTGAGTGGAATCGTCCTGTCGACTCTGAATCGAGAGTTCTCAGTCGGGTTTCAGGTGGGGATTGAAAGAGGCAACATTCCCACAGTTGTCTCCGTCTGGCCTCCTCATGTGCCCAGACGTCTGCCGTCGAGGCTCGAGGTGATTGTGCGGAACTATCCTGTCTTCCCCAGCATGAGCTTCGACAACAACTACAGGGACATATCAGGACCTGTTTCTCCAGCTCTATATGTCACATCTAATATCAAGGCCAGCGTCGAATCATTCGACATTGTCCGACCTCAATTGTACAATGTCAGTGCGGTGGTTCGTGTAGTATTGCAAGTTTATTCCGCAACCTCATCAGGCTCTGTGATCAGAATCCGAGCAGGCGGCCATGACATCTTCGTTGAGGTTTCTTTCTACGATATCGGCACTCCAACGCTCCTCGAGCTGAATCGGAAGAGTGGACCTCGTAACGGCTCGCTTGTCATAGCACAACTTGGAGGCTTCAAAGTCAACGACATGAAGTCAATCTTGGTTGGAGCTGCAGACGCCAACGCGAAGGTGCAGGAAGTGTCCAGCTCGAGCTTGATCACAACCATCGCTTTCTACCTCCCACCTTTGATGGCGTCGGGTCCCATTCCTATTCGAATCTCAAGCACTGACGCAAGTCAAGCAGAGGTCAGTTTCCTTTATTCGTTGCAGCAAGTTTGCGACTACACTTGGTTCTGCGCGCAAAGTTCCCTGTTGGTGCCGGTAAGTCAAGATATTGATCAAGTCATCATTCTACTTCAGCTGACCTCTTTACAGGTGTTTGCGCCTCGATCATGTAATGCTGCCAAGTGCTTCAATCTCCGAGCAAGACAAGCCCCTGTGCTCAGCTGGGTCAGCATGACTGAAGGGCCTTCAACGGGAGGTACTCGAGTCGAGCTTCAGATCTCGAACCTTTCTGAGCCAATGAGTGATGTCTTGATTGTCTTCGGCTCCAAGTCCGCGAGGGTGCTTGAGATGATGGCAGACCCAGGGGGTAAGCTCCTTCGGATTGGTGTGATCACTCCCGTACCGGAGACAGACGGTCTCTGTACAGTCAATGTCAACTTTCTCAACCCTGGGGTTTCAAACCTTGAGTTCGCCTTCCTCTATCGACCTGTCGCCTTGCCTCCTGCCCTTGCCTCCTTCTCACCTCAGCGGTGTGTACAGGGCACCATATTCAACTTGACTCTATCCTACGAGGGATGGTCTCCTATCTTGCAAGCGGAAGAAGTCATCGCTGTCAGCCACAAGGGCACATCAACTCAGGGGCGAGTGGTAGTCTCAGACTGGGCATCCACTGTAGTCACCTTTGAATCCTTGCACTGTCCCAGCAGTGGCGATTTACTTTCAGTGGACATTATTCGAACAAGTCAGCTTCACAAACTCAATGTGACATTGACGATTGATGCAATGGACTCAAAGCTTCTTTCCTATTTCCCTTCAATTGGGCCCCTGCATCGACCGTCGCAGGTCTTCGTTCGCATTCGAAGTTTCAGTTCATCGGATTTCCAACTTGTCTTGACCAACTTGAGCAGCAGCGCTAACAGCTCTGAATCTCAGTCATCCCTTGCGAACAACGTGACATGCCGAGGGCTTTCAGCCAACCGAGTCTGCTCCATGACCTTCACCATCCCCGCGCGGTCCTCTCCTGGTACTGTTCGATTCACGCTGGTCCAGGTTCTTGGCGGGGCAATTGACTGGATTGAATGGAAATATTCACAGAGCAACGTGACTCAGATCGAGTCGATCAGTGCAACCAGCTCGTCTTCAGCTGGGGGAGACCTGATTGAGGTCGCTTTCTACGGATTTCCTCGGCTCCACACAGAGACAGAGGCAGGCGAGGACTTCTTGAGTCAAGTTCAGATCTCCTTTGGGCCTTTCAGCGGATCCCTCCAGAGCATCTCATGGAGCGAGGAGCCGAGAAGCGACAGGGACCCGCCTCGTCGCACAGTCATCAAGTTTCTCACCCCGTCTGTGTGGAAGTCGATGAACACAACCGTGACAATCTTTCAAAGCTACAACACGCAGCGCTTCGCCAGCTATCTTCATCAGTTTTACACTCCAGATGTCTTCTTGTACCAGCAGGAATGCAGTATGACAGGAGGTTGCACAGTGAAGATGAGGATCTACAACTTCTTCATTTCAAATTACAATCAAATGAAGGTGTATGTTGGCGAAAAAGAAGCAACGCTTCTTCCAGACTCTTATATGGAATCGGCGCTTGATCTGGTGGTCAACGTAACAATCCCAGCAGCAAAGTCACCAGGTCAAGTAACGATGAAAGTGTCAGACAGTCTGCTGGGGTCTTCAGCTACCACAAGTTTCCGGTACATCGCAGGCCCCGAGGTGAAGTATGCACGTATATGTTCATGTTGATTGTCTGACTGCTCTTGCAGACGAGGATGTTGACGCCTCCAACAGCCTCGGCGAATGGAGGCGGCCAGGTCGAGCTCCTCTTGCTCAACTTTCCCGAGGTGTCATCGTCGCAGGAGATCGGAATCGGGTCATCGAATGTTTCCAGCCTCAGGTTGATCTCCTCCAACGCTCGCAGAACAGTAGTCGCAGTGCTTGTACCCGTGCTTCCTGCTGGAGCTGCCTCGCTCTCCGTCTCTCTGTTCCCTCTCGATTGGTTCACCATCTTTCCAGGCGTCACTTGGGCAGCAACTGTCGTAAAAGTTTGGGAAGCTGCTACGATTGTATCGATCACTCCAAACCATGTCAAAGAAGGAGTTGAAACCATCTTGACTTTGCTGCTCCGAAACTTTCCCGACCCTTCTACTGACTTCAACGGGTCAAGTCACTTCGAGCTTGCGGTGGGTCCTTACCACGGCAAGCTTCACAACACTACTTATGACGACGCGAGTGCCAGTGAGGTTGCGTTTCTGCTGCCGCCGATGCTCAATGGGGAGTACGACCTGGTCATACGCAGAGGCAACTTGATGGCCGAGCGCAAACTCCGCGTGGTATCTGATCGACTGAAAGTCGTGCAAGTCGTCGGGAGTGAGGGATCCTCGCAAGGAGGCAACAAGGTGCTGGTGAGTGTGCTGGGGCTTGTCACCCCGACACAAGTAAGCGACCTTCAAGTCATCTTCGGAGGGCAGGAGCCAGCTCTCATAGGGAACATAATGATAGACAGGGCAGTCACCAGCTTCGAGCTCATAGCTCCTCCTTCATCGCCTGACATGGACGGAAGCAGCACGGTCGAGGTCTCGGTCGCTACCCGTCAAGAAGTCACAACCACCCTCACCTTCGAGTACATGTACGTTCATAGCCTTCAGGTGCTTCGAGCCCAGCTGAGCTCCGATGGAGGGAAGTTAATCATGACAATGAGCCAGGCGATTGACTTGAGAAGCCTCGGATATGAAATTGTAGGAACTGCTTATGTACAGGACAAGCGTCTTTTCAGCTGCAGTCAACTGTTCTCATACAGCACGGTGAATGACTTGGGGTATCAGGCTTCTTGTTTCTTCGCATCGGACGTTCTTATCGTCGTCGCTTTGGGCTGGACAACTGCAATCAAGCAGGGCTACGTTGGTACGCTCAACCATGCTGTGTCTCCGGTCAACCAGCACGCTCGGAATCTACCTGTTCAGCGGGAGTTTACAGTAGGAGACTTGTTCTTTGGCTCTCGGCCCAACAAGCTTGGAAGGCTTTATGGACCCTCGTTCGTCGGCCCTTGCGATGACTTGGAGTTCGGCATAGACCTGGAGAGCATGAGAGAACCGATGGCGGTGGAATGGAAGCTGTTGACACGGGAGCTGCAGGAGATTCCTGGAGCTCTTGTCGACCAGACGTCTCTCAACATCGTGGTTGCACCAGATGTCTTTCCGTTATCCGTCAACGATTTCTTGGTCAGGTCAAGAGTCACACTTTTAGACGGGCAGGTGCTCGACTTCCAACATCAAATATCTCGCAAACGGTTCCCAATCCCCATGGTTGACTTGCAAGTAGTTGGTTATCAGTCAGCAACCCAGCCGTTCCAAGTTATAGCCGACGCAAGAGACTCTACGTGCCTTCAAGTCTCCCTAGGTGAGCCATCGACCCCTAGCTTGATGTTGTTAGTTGACTTCTGTGCGCAGGGATACCTGTTCAGAGCTCCGCCATGCAGTACGAGTGGTATCAAATGACCGGGCAGGTCTGGTCGTTGATCAGTGGACAGACTGGCTACCGGCTGCAAGCTGAAGGTGCAAATAGAGTGAAGTTGAAACTGACTCCAATGGTCGACCCCTCAGCGTCGATCCAAGTAGAAGCATTCCTTCCCCCCAACAGAACTAGAACGATTGTGAAGCTGCTTGGGGGCAATCGCATGATCTCGCCAACTGAGCAAGTCGTCTTACAAGCTCTTGTGTCGACCTCGAGCTTGTTTGGAGCAGTTCGATACCGATGGCAGTGCTGGAGTGGTGGAGAAACCTGCAGGCAATCAGATGGCAAGATGTTGATGCTTGGAGATAGCTTGAACTTGACGGTGGAGGGAGGGACGTTGGTGGCTGGAAGGCTCTACTCATTCCATGTCATCGCATTCTCAGCTTTTGACTTTGCGTCTGCTACCACAGACATTGTCGTTGGAGCAGGTGAGGTAGGCATGACGACAATCAGTATGTTCCAGAGCTTCAGAGAGGTGGACTGCTTTGAGGAGGTACTGGGAGGCACCGACCTTGTCGTACATGCAGTCAGCACAATCCCAACTGCAAATGAGCAGCTTTCCTGGACATTCAACAGTACCTTCCCATACTCGAGCACAAGCTCCATCGAGGTGCAAGGCAATAACCAACTCGTCGTAGCTGGAACCTCCCTGGGTTTGTTCTCAGCAACAAGCGTCGTCTTTGCCTCTGATCCTCTCACAAGTTCAACCTCTTGGTGCAAGCTGACGGTGGTTCCTCCTCCTAACAGCGGTCGCTGCTGGCTTCGCTTTCTTTCTGCTGTCCAGCAGCCCTTCAACGCTGCCTTGCGATGCGAAGGGTATGAGGGAGGGCTGGTGGGCGGGTTGAGCTACTGGTATGAGCTGTCAGTGGAAAACAATATTTATTTCTCTTTGAGGGTGAAGAAGAGCGAGCAGCAGGTCATTCTTCCAAGCGGAGCACTGAACCTTTCTGTGCATGTGGAAGATGAAACAGGAGCTTTCTCTCGATTCTACTTGCCGTCTACAAAGGTTCCCTTCAGCTCTGTGACTCTAGAGCACGTGCTCGCCCTCAAAGCTAGAGTCCAACAGTCAGGGCGAGCTGACATCCTGTGGGCGGGTGCGCTAGCGGTAAAGTCGAACCTTGGGAGTGAGAACGCGGCTCTTGGACAGCAGCTCTTTTCTCAGCTTTTCCCGGTCATGCTTGAAATATACCAGGCACAGCAGCCCTCGCTAGATTCCACTTTGCAAATACTTCAGGTCTTGACTGTGCTCACTCAACCCCCAGCACAACTTGACTTGAGCAACGTGTCGTCATGTGTTGAGCTGATTCAGAGTGTCCTGTCAACGATAGAACAGCTGGGAGAAAGGGAGGTGGACAGGAGGCAGTTGGAGCAGCTGGTGGTGCTAGTAGATCAGATCTCGGCGAGCGTCTCTTCGCTTCAGTTGGATCGCACAGGTGGGTCGACCATCGCCAGGCTGTGGTGGTCAAGTCAAATGCGACTCATCGACTCCCTCGCCTCGGTGAGTTTGCGGTTGACACGCACGTCAGGGGTCGACCAGGCCCTTCACCTGACGCAGGTGTCCATGCTCCTACAGCCCGTCAAAGTGGCCGCGCTCTTGGCTGGCCCTCTCGTTCTCTCGCTTTCCAACCAGCACGTCGCATTTGCTCTTGCTCCAGCAGTGCTGTCGGACATTACGGTACAGGAGGAGGCAGCTCGATACGTTGTCGTGAGCTTGTTTGTGTCTGCTCCCTCCTACACTGCAGAGTTTCTCCTCCTCTCTCAAGCTGTCAGCCTCGCTCTCTCCTCCTGGCCTGATGGTTCCCTCGCCAACCGCCTGCTGACCGCAGGGATCAGAGTAGACATCGTCTTCTCCGTCCCGAGCCAACTCCAGCGGGACTCTAGCAGGAGCGGAGTGATGTGCATGGTGTGGCAGGTAGCGAGCGGGAGCTGGGAAGAGGGATGCAGACTGGACGCTATCCTCCAGCTGTATGACGATGCAGGCGCAGTCATTGAGGGGAGAGAAAATGCTGTTTGCGTCTGCCCGTCGCTCGCGACTGTCGCCATCGGGTATCGCTTGCAAGAGAATAAGTTTATCTCCCCCACACCTGAGTGGGGGGACGTTCTGGTCGTGAGGGCCGGTGAGAGCCTTTCGCTCCTCCTTCGCTTCGCCGTCGCTGAGGGATCTACAGCAACTGCTGCCTCTCGCCTCCCCTCCTCTCCTCCTTCCTTCCAGCCTTTGACCGCGGGGATTATGCGCCATGGCCCAAACAACTCGACCGAGCTGAACCTGACGTGGGTGCCGATGGTGGAGGGGAGGGAGAGGCTGGTGCTGGAGCTCTGGGTGGACGGGAGGAAGAGCGACGAGCGATGGTTGTCTGTACAGGTTCTCTTCTGCGAGCACTGGGCGATGGAGGGAGAGACGCTGGAAGACGTGGCGAGACTGTATGGGACCAGCTGGCAGGCCTTGTTTGCCATCAACCCAGGCTTGTCATCAGTGCGAGGAGCGCTGAGGATCAAGGCAGGGTCAGCGGGAGAGCGAGGGTCCATGTGGGAGTGCAGGGAGGGACAAGAATGCGTGAAGAGGACAGCAAGGGGGTTGTTGGAGCCAAACGTGCTGCGGGTGGGGGTGAGGCTGGCTGTTGGGAGCCTTGGGTCAAGAGAGGAGCTCCTGTCGTACCTGCGCAGACTGGGAGGGAGTCTACATCAGACCGTCTTGATGAGCCCTCGAAGAATCCCTCTCATCTCCTCCAACCCGCTCGTCGCAAACTTCTCGAAAGTGCACGGAGACGGCAGGTTGTGTGTAGTCGCAATGTTTGCTGATAGCTGCCCTGCAAGTCAATGACAACTATAAGTCGCAGCAGTAAAATATAGTAAAGTGTTCAACATGTTGACATTTTTCCAAACATTCAATTCATCTCGAACGTCGCCCTGTCTCTTGTCCGAGCGAGCATGACGGTAACTTCCCGCGTTTCCCCTCGCTTTCAATAGATCCATCGTACCAGCTCCTTCACCCCCTGACCCTCAAGACAGTTCACCCGGAAGCTCTCGCCTCCGTTGATCACATGTAACGGCAGGATATAAACCTCGTCTTCCTCCGCCATCTTCTTCAGCTCCTCTTCCACACATGCCTTCACCTCCTCACACTGATCCGTCACCTCGCTCTCCTCGGCAAGATCGATGTGCGTTACTACGAGCAACACGCTCGCTCCCAGATGATGGGGTGGCACTTCCTACATGGTATGTTTCATCTGCATCTGATAGCTTCTCTCCTTGTTACACCCGGCCATTCTTTCTCTCTTTCTTGCTGAGAGTACCTCTGAAGGTATGTACAGCACATGGTTACCGCATCTCATGAAGAGCTGAGACGAGCCAACAGGTTAAAAGAGAAAGAGTCAATCAGATTTCAGCTAGTTCGTAGCTGCTGCTGGCTGATCTCCGTACTAGTAGATCTTGTAGATGCTCGTCGCGCTCGAGCGACACATCGGGCATGGCCTCGACGTCGCTCCCTCCTTGCAGTCCTCGCACAGACACTTGTGACCGCAGGGGATCAGCGCCCAATCAGCTCTTCGCTCCATGCAGACGACGCATCGCTGCCCGCGATCTTCGACGGCTTCGTCGTACTGCTCCTGAAGCAGCTGCTCTAGCTGGCTGAAGCTTGGTCGCTCGGTCTTCTTCTCCTTCCAGCATTTTTGCATGATCAAATAAACTTTAGGCGGACATGCTGAAGGAGCCGCTAGTCGCTCGCCTTCCAGCACCTTCGAACCCACCTGAGGGTCTTCAGTGATAGTCCCATAAGGGACTTTGCCGTAGGTCCAGACCTCCCACATGGTCACCCCGAACGCCCACACGTCGCTCTTCTCCGAGTAATGCCTCCTCTCGATGCTCTCCGGCGCCATCCACCGCACGGGTCGAGCCGTCGAGCCTGCCGTGCTCACGCTCCCGGCCCTACTCTCCCCGTACCCGCGCGAGGCCATGATGGACAGCCCGTAGTCGGCTATCTTGACGCTGACAGCCAGGTGATCCTCCGGGTCCAGGCTGAACACAAGCACGTTCCTCGCCGCCAGGTCCCGATGCACGACCTCATGCAGCGACAGCTGCACCATCCCGTCGCAGATCTGCCTGACCACCTGCAGCTGCACCAGCAGACTCATCGTCTCCTCTGCCTCGGCGTAGTTGGACAAGATCCCATCGAGAGAGTCCTTGGAAGCGAACTCAGTCACCAGGCAGTAGTCGCCGGAGCTCGGCTCGATGCTGGTGGCGAGGAGGCGAAGGAGGTTGGGGTGACGGCCCAGCTGGTGGAAGATCGTCACCTCCTGCTCGAACTCTTCTCTCCTCCCAGTTGGTCCGCTGCCTCGGATTCGCTGGATTGCCACGTCAGCGCTGCTGCCATGCGGCTGCTGCCACCGAGCCCTGTAGACGAGCTTGAAGGAGCCTGAGCCGATCTGCTGCAGGCCCGTGAAGGACTCGAAGTTGCACGATGGGAATGGATCAAGCTAAAGAGAAAGGTTCACCATGTCATCGATGCCTGCATCCATACTATCGACAGCAACCGTCAGCTCCGATGTAAAGGGGTTCCGAAGTTCCACTCAAAGCTATCACATACCTCGTCGTAGTTGAACCATCCTATAGACTTGGCGCACTGAGTCAACCAGTCACTAAACAAACAAGACCACTATCAACCAACTGTTGGAAACACAATGAACTTACATTCTATGAGCATAGGAATAGAACGTTGAAGCCAAAACAAGAACACTCGGCCTCTCAGTCTCTCACTCGTGGAGCTACTAAACCCGAGCGATCGCCTGGTCTGAGGGTCAAAGGAATATTTTCCCTATCACCTCAGCTGGCAGGACCGAAAGTCAACACTCGCACAGGCCTTGTAGTGCAGAGAGGTCTTGCAGCGAAATGATGAAAGCACCAGCTGATTGCAAGCTGACAGCTGCTTTGTGGTATCCAGCCGGTAGCGTAGAGAGACGTGGGCCATGGCGGGCAGACAAGTGATTTGTGTGCTTTTGATAGATAGAGATGATTTACAACTTGCTGTGCACAGTGGATCATGAAACATCTCCGAGATCGAATCAATGGTAAGCAAGACGAGACCAAGTTTCTTGCGAGGATGTATGATTGTGTGCGCGGGATCACGACGAGCTAGTCCTTTGAGCGAATAAGTTTTATCCGAAGATGTTGTATACCAAAGATGTTTCCCACTCCCAGCAACTTGCTGCTCATGTACCCCGTACCTCGTCTTTTGTATCACGCACATAACGTCCCAATTTGACCTTGCTCCTCCTCCACCCTCTCTCCTCAGCCTCATCCCTTTCATAACCACCATCATCGTTGTCATCGTCATAGGGGAAGCAGGAGGAGGAGTAGGACGAAGGTAGGGCGTAAGCTCGGAGGAGGACATTAGACTGCGGCTTTGTAAGGAACGATGGAAAGGCGACATGGAGGAGCGATGATTTGGCGTGATCATTCTTCCACAAGAGTTTATGAAGCAGTTATAGAAGCCCAAGCGCTTCCTTTCTTCTCGCTGAGAAACAGATGGAGAGATTTCCAAGCATTCGTCTTCTTGATGCTTTCTCTCTCTGACATCCTGTTTGACTGACGTCCATGACTCTTTGGAAACAATTGCTACTGTCCACGAAATCGGGTATTCGCAATAAGCATAAGCCTACACTCGACGGAACTCAACAAGGAACTCAGGGTATGTCTGTCGCCGGTCGTAGACGATGAACTCCCTGTACTTTTGCAAGAACGCTGAAGGATGCGTATCCTGTGTCACCCCAATCACTGAGTCATGCAGGCGGTCACTGCCCGGCATTACTGGTGGTCGCCTCGCGTTGTTCATCGCTTGCAGGGCCTCGTAAGGCGTCCCCAGCACAGCTCGCACCACAAACATACGACAGATCCCGCGGCTGTCTGGCGTGCAGTACTCGTCGCTCTTGCTCGAGTTCTCAGCCAGGTAGATCCCAGCTCCAAACAAGCCTTCTAGACTGCAGACCCGCTCGTCAAGCCCAGCCTTCAAGATAACATCCGCCATGTCGTGTTTGGTGCCATGGAACAGCAACACCTCGTTGCTGGTCTTATCCTGAAGGAGAGACTTTTTCATCCAATCTTTCCACGTACTCACCTTGGTCTTGGGGTGTCGTTTGCCCTGTAGCATCATGAGGTAGCCTGTAGCCTTTCGCTGTAGGGCATATGCCGACCACAACTCCGAGTGCTCTATACGGAAGACCCGCTCCACGTTGTAGCCTTTATGCTTCAATCCCAAGTTGTCTCTTCCTTGGCCGATGTACTGCGACTTACATGTCGATGTCATGAGCTCTTGTATCTTGTCCTTCCACTCGCGTGTGACGTCGACTTTGATGTCCGTGCTCGCGGAGCTTGCTCGACCCTGCCAATAGTAGGGAGCTTTCAGTACGGCACGATCGTGTGCCAGAAGCAGCTTCTCTGTCTCTAAATCTCTCGCTTTTCGTTCAAGCTCGGCCTCTTGCTTGCTCAAGGTCGTCAGCTCCGACTGCACCTGACGCTTTTGCTCATTCAGAAGCCTCTCTTGTTGGCTAAGCTCTGCCTTCTCCTTGTGCAGTTGTTCCTTCCTCGACTTGGCGTCGTGTTCAAGTTGCTTTCCTTTCGAGATCAGCTCTCGCTGCTGCTTCACCAGCTGCCTCTCTTCAAGGTTCATGCGCTCCATGCGCTGATTGATGTCCCTCTCCCTCTCTGCAAGCTCATCTTGCCTGCTCACAAGCAACGCAAGCTGTCGATCTTGCTGTTCGCGCATGGCAGTACGCTCTTTGTCGACATGTTCGCGCTCGAGTATCATGGCATGACTGAAGTATCGATGTGTGAGAGCCTCAGCTGATGAAGGCCTGTTGTTCGGAAGAGGATCGATGAGTCTAGAAACAAGATTCTTTGCCTCGTCTTCAAGTCCCGACAGCAATGCCGTGGTTTGATTGCGCTGTGACCCGCTTGTTGAAGCTTCTGTCAAGAATTCAAGCATCACCAAGCCAAACGAGTACATGTCTGATTTGTGCGAAACTTTCTTCGTGCTTGAGGTAGGATTGATCAGCTCCGGAGCCATGTAGTTCAGCGTGCCCACGGCAAGAGTTGTGGTCACTGTCGCTGCCAGGTCTTTAGCACGGTCCTCCTGCTCCTTGGACACGTCGAAGTCTGCAATCTTCGGCTCTGCATCCTCTTCTTTGGAAGTCATCATGATGTTTCCGGGCTTGATGTCGCAATGGATGATCCTGTTCTGGCGCAGGTTCTCGAGTCCTTGCAGCAACTGCATCAGCACCCTGTGTTTCTGCTGGTAACTCGGTTTCACATCCTGCATCCAGATCCAAAGCGTCCCTCCAACAAGGAATGGCATCTTCAGGTATCCCTTCAAGACCATCAGCCCATGCTCGTTCGTCTCCTCCACAAAAGCACTGCTCAGCTGCATGATGTACGGGTGCTCCAAGCGACGCAAGATGCTTGCTTCTCGCAGGAAATGCTTCCTTCCTCTCTCGCTGTCCGAGATGCTGTATTCTTTGATGACATACTTTTCACCTCCTTCTTTGACGACCATCACATTGTGTCTGGCCCCCATCTGCCCAAGTTGCGACAGCCGGTCTACCACTTGAAACATGTCGATCTTCTCATGATCGATTACAAAATCATTGATAGCAGCACCAGCCTCGAGTTGCATCTCTTCCTTCAACTCATTTCTGTACTCAGGATAGTGACAGATGATGCTCCAAAGCGTTGACTCCATCCTCTCAAGCTCCTTGTTGCTTGCCAAGAGGTTTGTTCTGACCGCATCTATCTTCTCCTCAACCTCCTGGTACGCTAACTTCTTCCTCTTGCACCTTTCCAAGTCAGATTTATGATCAAAAAGCTCGTCTTCCAGGCACTCAATAGTCTTCTTTAGCTCTGCCCTGGTATTGATCAAATGCTGCGGGTCTTCTAAGCTCTGAAACACCTTGTTGTACCTTTCCAATGATTCTACGTCTGATATCTGACCCAACTCGAAAAGCACAGACTCTGCCCATGACAAGGCCTTCTTCTGAACTGTAAGCAACATGCTTAGGGGAAACGTTTCGATCAAAGAGCTGTCTATCCACACTTCCTCCTCGGACACAAACGCTGCTTCAAGCGCCATGTGCGTCTCCGGCAGAGCGTCTTCCAACTTGCTCGTATCGTCGACGCTCAACCCAGTGGAGCTTCCATCCAGCATACAAGAGAGCTGACGTAAACTGTCGGCATATCGGATTGCGATCTTTGTCCTCTCCTCCCTTGCAGATGCCAGCCTCCCATTCACGGTCTCAACCCACACTGATACCATCGACTTTGTTTCTTGTAGCTGCTGTCGAAGATCATCTGTACAAGGACAGTATGAGCCTGCAGCTTGCTGTCCATGGCTTGAAGAGCTTGAATCTGCTGCAAAGCACCTTGAAAACGACTCGATTTTGCCTGCAATCTTCTCCAACGACTCCCTGTAACCCAGTAAGCAAGCCTTAGAACCACCTTTTAACGCAACCAGCTCGTCAGATTCCCGTATCAGCTTAGCCCTGGTCTTGTTCCTCCTGTCTATGCCCGTACCTCCCCTCATGACCTCAGCTTGCGCAGCATCAAGCTCATCCTGCAACGACCGCACTTGCCTCCAAGCCTGCTGCATACGCACGTACGCTTCGTGCCCCTTGCTGCTCAGTATGTCCACCAATTCAAGCAGCAATCCGTAGGCCCCTTCTCCTGAGGCGAGCTCACGGCTGCATATCTTCTCTGTCAGGTCATGCAGTGATAGCTTCAATGAACCCTCCGAGCCCACGGATGATCCATGACGCCTGGCTAGCTTGACCGCAGATCGCAGGGTGCTGCACTTGTCCACGTGGTCGAAACGCTCCCGCTCCTCTTGTTCCTCCCTCTCCTTGCGCTGCTGCTCCTCCCTCTCCTTGCGCTGCTGCTCCTCCCTCTCCTTGCGCTGCTGCTCCTCCCTCTCCTTGCGCTCCTCCTCTTGCAGCTTTTCCTTGCAATGTCTGCACCCGTACTACCAAGAGCACACGTCACAGGAGACTCACGCGCATCACTCAAACCAATCATACACCTGCTCATAGTCGGACCATCCTCGAGATTTGGAGCACTGAGTCAACCAATCAATACCAACAAAACCTCTAAAGACCATGTGCTTTGAAACATCATCGATGACTTACATTCTGTGAGTTTCCCAATGCATAATGCAATCACAACAAGGTCAGATCAGCAGGAAGATATGTGATGGTGTCAAATTCTTACGCAGCACTAGTAGATCCATACCAGATGTCGCCATTCGTTGATCAAGACATACCAGAAAAAGAAAAATGAATGTCAATCCCTACCGACCGCATGTTTCAATCGAGATATTACTTACAAGCTATCCAGCCCCATCACACCACCCATCCGATGACAAGTCCAGAAGATAAACGGAAAACGTCAGCCAATCGTCCCCTGACCGCATATTTCATAATCATCACTTACCGACTGTCCGGACAAATCAACAACCCATCCGATTAGAAACCAAGAAAAAACACAGAAAATGTCAGCCAAATCGTCCCCTGACCGCATGTTTCATAATGCTACTTACTCCCTATGCAGACCGATTTCATCCATCCAAGCAACGAAAGAGCAGCAAGAATTGAAAAGAAAGTCAGTCCCTATCGTCCCCTGAGCATCTTTCATCGTTGTTACTTACATACTATCCAGCCCCATTCACAACCCATCCGATGAGATAACCCCAAAATACACACAAAATGTCAGCCTATCGTCCCCTGAGCACATCATTATGATATGACACTTACTCCCTATGAAGACGAATTTAATCCATGCAAGCAAGGAAAAACCAGGGATTTGCAAAATACATGTCAGCCAATCATCCCCTGAGCGCGTATTTCTGATTGTGACTTACATTCTATCCAGCCCGATACACGACCCATCCGATGAGAAACCGAAGAATGCACCAAAAATTTCAGCCCAATCGTTCACTGACCGCGTCTTTCATTATCATAACTTACTCGCTGTTGAGACCCATGATCAATCCATTCGAGCAGGAAACAAAGGAAATCGCAAAAATAAATGTCAGACAATCGTCCCCTGACTGCAGCTTTCATATTCGTCACTTACCAGCTATCCAGACCCAAGTTTCATCCATCCGAGCAAAAAAGCGATGAGATTTGCAAAGTACATGTCAGCCAATCGTCCCCTGAGCACATCATTATGATATGACACTTACTCCCTATGAAGACGAATTTAATCCATGCAAGCAAGGAAAAACCAGGGATTTGCAAAATACTTGTCAGCCAATCATCCCCTGACCGCATCTTTCATCATTGTTACTTACATACTATCCAGCCACATTCACGACCCGACCGACGATAATCCCAGAAATTTGCAAATCCACATGTCAGCCAATCGTCCCTTGACCGCATGTTTCATTGTCATCACTTACCCACTGTCCAGCATCATCGATGGTCCATCCGAGCAAAAACCAACAAGAAAGCAAACCAAATGTCAGCCATATCGTCCCCTGACCGCATCTTTCATCATCGTTACTTACCAGCTATCCAGCCCAAGTCACGACCCGACGGATGACAAACCAACAAAATTGCAAAACCAAATGTCAGTCTCTATCGTCCTCTGAGCATATGCTGCACAGACTGATGCTTACCGCCTTCCGAATAACAACATTGCAATTCACGGCAGAACGTAAAACACTCAAAGTCAGGTGACGCCTACTGGAAGCTATTCAAATTACGCATTTTGTGCTGTCGTTGGTATCATATTCGATCACGATCTGGAGAAACACAAGTCAGAAGGTCAAAAAAGTGTTATGAGGAAGTGAAGGAGCCGCCAAGAAAGGAGTTGAATGATGGAAGGATCAGATGCGGGGGAGCAAAGGAAACATCTCCATCATCAAACATGTCACTCAAGGTAACAGCATCTCATCGCAGCTGCTCCTTGCCTGGCAATTAGAGCAGTTGTACGGCATTGCGGAGGTTGAGAACAGAGGGTGGGGTAGGTGGAGATTTGGGGATGTAGGCAAATAGCGGGTAGGGGTAGTCGAATGAAGGAGGGAGGCAGGGGACTCGAATCATGCCGGTGAGAACGATTCGATTTTATAAGTGAGACACTAGTAGCATTCAACGAGGGTGAGAGAGCGAAGGTGTTTGAGGTGGTACAACCAAACGTTGCACAGGTGCTCACCACCCACCCCCATTTAAATGTTGACATCAGTCTCGACTGGCTCGACAAAGGTTTTTTTCGCACGGGTAGGGTGCACAACCTTTCAATCTTAAGAAAGGTATTGAATATATTGTTCAATATTTCAAAGATTGGTGTGTATATCGAAGAAGATTTTGAAATCAAGGATGAGCGAAACGCAGTTCCGGCATGTTTTCCCAAGCGACCCCACTAAAATTAGTAGCAAGGGGAGACTTTACCTAGCCTATCATCGATATTCTCTATATCTCTTCCTAGTCTCAAACGCATATGCCCCTACCCACCAGCTCCTTGTCCCCACCTTCACCTCAACCTCCACCACCTGCTCCACCACACTCGACGGAAGGTTTTTTTTCGTACGGGTAGGGTGGACAATTTTTCAATCTTAAGGGAGATATCTTGTCCCGGCTGCTTCCCCCCCTCTTGTCCCGGCTGCCCCCCCCCCTCTTGTCCCGGCTGCTCCCCCCCACACCTGTCCTCCTTCCATCACCATGCTCCTTCTTCCTCTTGCTCTTGCCCAGGCTCCTCCTTCCATCGCCATGCTCCTTCTTCCTCTTGCTCTTGCCCCGGCTCCTCCTTCCATCACCATGCTCCTTCTTCCTCTTGCTCTTGCCCCGGCTCCTCCTTCCATCGCCATGCTCCTTCTTCCTCTTGTTCTTGCCCCGGCTCCTCCTTCCATCACCATGCTCTTCTTCCTCTGCTCTTGCCCCGGGCTCCTCCTTCCATCGCCATGCTCCTTCTTCCTCTTGCTCTTGCCCCGGCTCCTCCTTCCATCACCATGCTCCTTCTTCCTCTTGCTCTTGCCCCGGCTCCTCCTTCCATCACCATGCTCCTTCTTCCTCTTGCTCTTGCCCCGGCTCCTCCTTCCATCGCCATGCTCCTTCTTCCTCTTGCTCTTGCCCCGGCTCCTCCTTCCATCACCATGCTCCTTCTTCCTCTTGTTCTTGCCCCGGCTCCTCCTTCCATCACCATGCTCCTTCTTCCTCTTGCTCTTGCCCCGGCTCCTCCTTCCATCACCATGCTCCTTCTTCCTCTTGCTCTTGCCCCGGCTCCTCCTTCCATCACCATGCTCCTTCTTCCTCTTGTTCTTGCCCCGGCTCCTCCTTCCATTGCCATGCCTCTCCTTCCTCCTTCCCTTCCTCATGCCTTGGTCACTTTCTTCCTACACACACATTCCTGCTCCCTGGGATGGTTTGGCCTGCCTTGTTGAGTTTTCCACCGTCCCCGTTCTGTTGCGGTCATACCGTGCCCCTGCGCACCTGCAAGGATGAAGCGAGTCCATCATGCGGATGTTGCCAGCCGCCTTGCTGTCCATCAGCGGAGACAGCGGAGACATCGGAGATGACGGGGGCAGCGGAGACATCGGAGATGACGGGGGCAGCGGAGACATCGGAGATGACGGGGGCAGCGGAGACATCGGAGATGACGGGGGCAGCGGAGACATCGGAGATGACGGGGGCAGCGGAGACATCGGAGATGACGGGGGCAGCGGAGACATCGGAGATGACGGGGGCAGCGGAGACATCGGAGATGACGGGGGCAGCGGAGACATCGGAGATGACGGAGGCAGCGGAGACATCGGAGATGACGGGGGCAGCGGAGACATCGGAGATGACGGGGGCAGCGGAGACATCGGAGATGACGGGGGCAGCGGAGACATCGGAGATGACGGGGGCAGCGGAGACATCCATGCTACACTCTCCTGTTGTAGCCAAGCGGCCTGATGTTTCGGAGCCTCGCCTGCCTTGTCCGGCGGCGGGAGAGGGTGCAGATTCAGTGGCCGATGATGTCATGACATCGGATGTGCACGTTGTTGGCAGCTCACAGTACGGCGCTGCAGGGGATTTGCAGTGCCTGGACACAGATCATGAGCCGCGGTGTCGAGATGGAGAAGGTCAGGTTGACGAGTTAATCTTGCGAGCCTTGATGTCTTCGAATCTGCTTCGCCTTGTGGGGAACGCAAGCTACGTCCAGGGCTTGAAGGAGAAGATGCGGATTGAAGTGTCGCAGAGGAGGCGGGACTCGCTAGACTTTGCCGGGAAGCTTCCCTTGGCACTGAAGGCCTTGAGCATCGGCATCCCTGCCGATCAGCTTCTGATCGACGTTGCACAGGCAGGTGGGCTGCATGGCAAGAGCGACGGGTGTATCATAGTTGGGCCCCAGAGACAGGTCAGCGGGTCGAGTCGGGGTGAACCTCTGCCGCTGTGCCGAGAGCCGCTGGAGGTGAAGTCGTCCTCGTGCAGGAGTGGTGACAGGACCTTCGGCATCAAGTCCATCCGCAGGTCCTTCCGTCATCTGTTCATCGTGGGAAGAAAGGACAACCCTGACGACTGGACGTCCCTTGACGCTCTAGACGACAAGTGCTCCCTCGGTTACATCAGCGGGGAGGACTATGACATAGCTCTAGAGCGGCACCTTGTGCGCCAGGGTAGATGGCCTGCAGCTTCCGACGAGCCACAGGATGTGACGGTGACGATGAACAGCAGGAAGAGGACCGGCTGGCTCTCGCAGCACATCCGGTGGGTGGGCTTCAAGGACCTGACACTGCAGTGGTGGCAGGCTACTGTAGGGAGCAGTGTGCTGGCAGTTAGGTAGCCTTATTCCATGACGCTGTGGTGGCAAGCTGAGACAAGCGACGGCAGGGAGTCACTAGTGTTGTAGTCAGCTAGGTTGACCTGCCTATGCCTATGCTGCAAGGTGATGCACAGTGATTAAGGCTTGGGGGCCGTGCATCATCTCCCCTTGAAGCAGCAATTTTAGAATCAATACAAGCATGCAGATAACCTATGAGCCGCTTCCCGCCTCTGTCCTCCACAGAATCTCCGCTCGCCTCCTACTAGTGACTGGCTCCCATCCAGGCTCCTGTCAGTCTCTCGTCCTCTCCTGCTTGCCAGGCTGGCTCCCGTCAGTCTCCCGTCTAGGCTTGAATTCCTATGAATTCATATGAACCTGCAGCGCAGCCTCTCACATATCATGGGCAAAGAATCATCCAAAACTCGCATGAGATTCACAAAAAACCACGAGCTTCTGCTGGTCTTGCGTCCTGGTGACGTATGAGCCTGCATCGCGAGATCAGAAATTGGGTGCGCATGCGTTCATCAGAAAATCAGCGACTACCTAGTAAAACAGGGCTAGCGTGCAGAAATGTCACATCTGACCCCGAAATCCCATTTCAAGACATCCGAATGGGGGTCAGAGCATGCAAGAAGCATCCCAAACGGCCCACGGGAAGCGTTGGAAGCGTTCCCCTCCCCTTGCTGCAGCCTCCCATCGAGCGGTTGCATCGAGTACCCCACCTCTTCAAGATTAAGAGTAGGGGGTGGGGGGTATTGGTCACTGAGTGGAAATTTATCATACTGGTTCGGCAAAAAAAATCGGCCCGAGGGGAGGGCGGCCGCGAAGGGCCCGGACTCCTGTAAGAACTCGGATAAGGGTTTAGGGTTTAGGAGGCGCCGGTTATTTCAGGCACCATGGCTGCACGCCGCGTGGTGTAGGGGAAGCCGCCAGGGCGCAGCGAGAGGTTTGTATAGTTTAGGTATAGTATAGTTTATACAAACCTCTCGCTTAGGGTTTAGGGTTTAGATTTCCCGGCATGCAGATCTGCGGTACCCCTGCGCTGGTGGAGTAAGAGCCGCCAGGAACGACGGAAGCTTGGGAAACCATTGAGAATGCTCCGAAACATGTGGCCAATATCTATTGTGAACCCTGACGAGATCGTGCAGTACCGTACCTCCAGCTACCTCAAGAGGCAGACGGAAACTGGAACGATGCCGTCACCAGCTGAGCTTGTGCGACGACTGGATGACTTCGCAAGGCAGAACCCCAAAAGCAGGACGAGCAAAGCTCTGAAAGCCAAAGAGATATCCTTGGAAGCCTTAGCCGAAGCCATCAGTCAGACATGCAGCTTTGCTGAACCCTCGTCACCGTGAAGGCATGGAGGGTTTAGGGTTTAGGGTTTAGAGCGCCGGTTATTTCAGGCAGCGCCGGTTATTAAAGGCAGATGGAGGCCAGATCATATGATGATCAGGGCACCAATGTGCAGACGATTACCATGAAGGTACTTGGGATCCCTGCATACTTTTCCAGACAGGTGGAAAACTTATGCCTCAAGCTTGAAGAGCAAGGCTTGATCGTCGATCAGACGCAAGATAGCAGGAGCCTGATCTTCAAGGCTCCCTTGAAGCCTGACCTTGTGCAGGCAGCGGAGATCCCAGCAGTGATCACATTTGTCCGCAATGAGGCGGCTGAGAAACTCTGGAAAGGAGAGGGTACCTTCAAGGTGGCAGGCAGGAGGATTCTAGCAGTGAACCCAGCAGCCAACCCACCGATCTCGTTCAAGATGCGGCCAAAGAAGGAGAACATGGGCAGAGTTGGAATCCTAGCTGAGGTGGCCCAACTCCTGAGGCTCAACGATTCGAGCACAGGTGACATATGTGAGATCTACAGGCAGCTATGCCTGAAGCAGGGATTAGCGATCATTGATCTGATCCCAAACGCGGGAATGACAGTGAACCTCCCCCCCAAGAGGAACCTACCGCCAAAGAAGGTGTTCGCTGCGGTAGGAATAGAAACAGTCAACCAGAACAGAGAGGTCGACTGGATCGCAACGTGCTCGAGCCTTGAAGCAGCGGACATCGTTCTTCAAGCATTCGATCGACATGGAAAGGATCGTGCAGGAGTCACTTTGGGACTGGTCTCAGAGAATGACAAAATACTGAAATGGTTCTCAGTGCAGATGGAAGCAACGGCGCTGCACAAGAATATGAAGAATGCGGTGCGACAAGAGGGCACGGCAATGGCAACGGGAGCAGAGATGCTGTACTCGGTACAAATCTCCTCTCCTGTGCCGTCAGGGAAGTTCTCCCGAAATGAGATTGAAAAAATCTGCGCAAGTGACGAAACGGGCAGAGCAAAAGTCATCCGAAACATTCGGAGGGCTGTCGCTTGCTTTGATCCACAGGTGGAAAAAGATCTCCAACGGATCCACCTCCAATGCGATCCAGAAACAGGGATCTGGGATGGGTCTGGTATCATTCTCCGGCTACGCAGTGAAAGTAGTGCAAGAAAGATGATGGCTGAATTCCCCACACAGCTCCTCTGCTGGCAAGGCACAGTTGAAATCCAAACGACAGCGAGCAGTCTGAACCTCAAAGTGTCGCCTCAGGCAACTCGCGATCAGTCTAACCCTGAGGCCAGGTCACAAACGACGGGGACCAGAGCAGAGGGAACTGTGTGGAACAGTTCCATTATCAATGAAACCAACTTCCCAGATGCGGGAACGGACGTGGTCGTCGAAGAACTTAAGGAAACTATTGCTGACCTAACTAGGAGCGAGCTGCAACAGCAAGGGCAGCTTCAACTCCATCTTGATGACGCGGTGCAAGAGATGGCTCCGGAGAGCCCAGGAAATGCATCCTTCCCCACGCTACAAGAGTGGGCTGATAAGGGTGCCAACGCGGCAGAGAATGCCGTGAGCAAGCGACTACGTGAACGAGTCAGGGTGATTGCAGACAAGCATACGTGGAAGGTAGCGAAACGTAAGAGCAGCGCTTTCGCACCAAATGAGGAGAAGCCCTTGAAAACTGACCTTCTCTTCATTGCTTTGAATAAATTCCTGGAGGAAACGGCGCTCTCCCTCGTAGGAATGCTGGGAGACAGAAACGAATTGAAACTTGTTTTGAGCAGTGAGATACAGATGGAAGACGCGCGAGTGGAAGATGCACCCGAAGCAGGGAGCAGAGCGGTAGAAGTGGAGGAGATGTCGCTTGACTCCTCCCCAACCGCGCCGCTTGACGCCTAATGGAAGCAGGAGGAGGAGGAGAGGGCAGGTGGGACAGTGGGCACCAGGGCGTGGTGGAATCAAGCAGAAAGAGACAAGAAGGTGAGAAAAAGAATGACAAAGAAAATCCAAAAAACAGAAAAATACAAACATTCGACTTGATAGGGGAGATCCCCTGGAGTCTACGGGAAAACAATAGAGAGTACGGAGCAGCGGCGCTGCTCAACTCAGGAGAAGATGGATTTCTCTCTGAGGACGTTATGGAGGCATTAATCGTTGAGGTAAACCGAAATTTAGAACCAGCGGAAGACAGATTTCAAATAGCATGGCTCCAAGGCACGAGGTATGCCAGCGAGCAAACTAGAAACCAATTTGGGCTGCAGAGAGGGACCATTGTTCTCCCGAGAATAGTAGCGGGTTTGAGAGATCAGGAGGGAAGGGCAAGGAGAGCAAAGCGACTGTTAGCCGGAGCAGATCAACCATTATTATTCCCATGCGTAGAAAACGGCAATCATTGGATCCTAATCGTGGCAGATGTCAACACAAAAAGAATACACATCGTCGACTCGCTCAACACGGCCGGGGAGAGAGACCTGGGGACAGTCAGAAGTCAAAGGGATGCACAGTTTCAATTGGGGGGCGCACAGCGAATGGACCTAGCATCACTCGTGGCGACGATCATCACCGAGGCAATTAGCGACCAACAAGAACAAGACGACAAGGCATGGAGGGCATGTGTGTCAACGGGACTGCAACAAACGGACGGCTACAACTGCGGAATTTTTGTACTACTGCATCTGCTACTGATCGCAAAGACACGAAAGCAGACGCAACAACACGATATCTTCAACATAGGTAGGCAACAAGGCGTCCCGCCACACCAACAATGGCTCGTGAGAACAAGGCACCTGCTGCTGGATGGGCTCTGGGGAGGGGGTCTAGAACAAGTTCACATGCGAGAAACGATCCAATGCATCTGCAGAGCGTTACAACACGCGCAAGAAACAGGCTACAAGGAATGGCAAGCAGCAAAGCTCACCATGGAACGTAGACCTAACCAGATGGAAAGGCGAGAGAATGGCCAAAAACGCGCAGGCGAGCTTCAGATGACCCAGGTAGCCGAAGATGCATGGCTAGAGGAGAGATGGAAAGACGGAGCGGCCCTGCAAATACCAGACAGGTCAGCACAGGGGGACATCCTGCCATACCCCCCTCCACCACCTCCCGCCCCATGCCCCGTCTCTCCACTCCAGCCACCTTCCCCCCCACCAGACATGCACGCAGAGACAAACTCGAAGCACGACAAGGAGACTAGGGGGGAGGAGGAGCCATCAGCCCCAACGAAGATGCAAGAGAGGTACGCGTCCCACCTTCAATGGGCATCGGAGGCGGAGGAGCAAATCCTAACAGCAAGCAGCAACGCACACGAGGCTACCACCGATAGGTCAGTGCACTCAGCATGGGTGGAAACCCACAAGAAGGACAACGCGCCAGGCAACATCATCTCTCAAAATGTCAATGGATGCAGTCAATTCGTGCTGAAACACATCCTGGCATATTTGATTGAGAAGTATCATCCATCTATTGTCATGTTGCAGGAAGTCAGGGTGGGGCGTGGTAAGAAAAAGGAAACAGATCTCCGAATGATGATCAAGAAAGAATGGGGATGTTACCGAATGTTTATGACCAAGGGTACAGGGTTTGGGAGAAAGGGTAAGAGTGATCTACGCCTTGTGATACTGGCGCATGCTGACCTTCTCCCGCGCCCCCCCTCCTCGCCAAATGGTACAGCATTGGAGGGGGCACACAGACAAAA